GAGACCAGTGCCATATTTGCAGGTTTGTCTGTTCTCTCTCTCTTTTTTTTTTATCAGAGAATGGTTTTAAGGTGCTTTTTAATCCCAAATCTGTGTAAAACTAACTATAAATTTATTTAAACGGCATCAAAGTAGTAATTTATTCAGTTATTCTACTGAAAAAGGGGGGAACATTTTGAATACATTTATGGGGAAGTTCAGATTCATCACTGTTAAATGTACTAGTTTCCTTTTCCAAACTGATTTACCAGAATAAATAAACCGTAATATTCTGTTTAATAGGGATACAGCTGTAAAAATCCTGTAAATAAGATTGAAAAGCAAAATTGACAAGTTAAACTTTTCTCTTCAAACAGGCACTGGATCTGATGTCAAAGTACCCAAGAAACCTGACAGGTTAAAGGCATCGGCCTGCATAAACAAAGTCAGCCGTGATTATAAAAAGTCCCCAGGAAAACAGGTTGAAAACAGGGAAATCCCTGCCTTAAGAGACTGCAGCTTATCCCTATCCAGTGGGAACCTTCCGGGTAAATCTAACGCTCCAATGGACAGTCGGAGCACAAATCAAAATTTAGAATTGAATGATTCGACAAACATGCCTCTGGTAAAAGATAATAACAACTCGGATCCAGTTGAGAAGGCAAACAAAAGCCTGAGCTCGGCTAGCTATCAGCAGCACAGAGACAAAGGAAAGCACAGGGAAAAGAGAAAGCACTGTGACTCCGCCGATGTGGACAAACGCAAACATAAAAAACACAAGCGCTCCCGGGATGCTCGGTTCGAAGGCCACCGCATCTCACATCTGGTGAAGAAACGCACTTACAAAAAAGAAGAAAGCGAAGAGAATTCAACAGAAGACCAGAGAAAATCGGATGACTACGTCTTGGCAAAGCTCTTCAGGAAATCTGGTAAGATTCAGTTTGCAAACTCTGCATTCATATTATATCAGCTGTTAGATTTGTTTCTCTTCTTTGTTGTTCATCCTGTGGTCTTGCCTAGGTATACACAGTGTGATGCAACATGACACCATCATGCAGTCTTCCAACCCTGACTATGTTCTTGTGGAAGCTGAAGCCAACAGGGTGGCCAAAGATGCCCTGAAAGCGCTCAAGATTTCTCGGCAGCGTTGCAGGCTGCCTTTTGATAGACCTCCAGATCCACCTGCGAAGTACATTGTTCTCACATATGATCATTTTATAAAGGAGATTTTGTTGTTCCATTTAAAACCAACAGTAGTTTATTTTTCTTTGTCAGGAAACGTTTTGGACAGAAGAAGAATCCTCTTTTACTTACGCGTTCTGCTCCATCTGCACCCCCTCCCATTAAATGCAAGGTAACAGTATCAAACCTCTAGGTCATTTGATATTTCTCAGATTTGTAAAGATGCGTGTTTGATTGAGTATTTCTTGTTTGTAGGATGCCGCTATCGTGAAGATGCCTGTTTCAAAGAAACCAAGTGCAGGACTTCATTTTAGTGGGGAAGGGGCAGATGACGATTCAAACTCAGCGCCACTGTCGTCCGCTTCCCTGCTGGCCAAGATCAAAGCTCGAAACCATATCTCTAAGCTCTCCTCTCAGGGAACAGCAGCAGAGGAAGATGAGGAGGAGGAGGTAAATGGCCTCGGAGCTTCAGGAACAAGCACCCCTCCTGCTCCTCCAACAGAGCACGATGAGCTGTTAGTGGATCTGCGCAACTTTGTAGCCTTCCAGGCCAATGTGGACGGCGAGGCCACCACGCAGGAAGTCCTGGAGTATTTCAAACCAAGACTGAACCAGAAACAGGCCCCCGTCTTCAGAGAGCTGCTCAGGAGCATCTGTGACTTCCATCGGACCTCCGGTCAGGAGGGCATCTGGAGACTGAAGGAGCACTTCCGCTGAGAGAAACAGCAAAACTACCAAGAAAAACAAAACGTTCACCTCTAAGTCTCTTATACCGAAAGATTTATTTTATGTTTTAATTTGTGAAAATACACTCCAAACCTAATTCAGCAACTTTTCAATGGTGCTTTAAGGACTATTTCTAGGAAAGCGTGTTTACTGTACAAACATGAAATGGTTAAAGTGAAGTTTTGGCATTGTTATACTCGTCTCCATGTCTTCATGTTTATTTAAAGCAGATTTATTTTTAATCTGTTTATCCTTGAATCTGTTTCTGTTCATTTGTCAAACTATAATACCTCATTCACTTTCAGGTTAATTGTTTCCACTTGAACCAGCCTACCTTTAAAAGATTTCTGATATTTTATATTAAAGCTATTTTGTGCCACTTTATGAATATCGCTATACTGTAGGTTTCTGGGGACCTTTCTAATGACTGACGCATCTATCTGTGTACATAAATGGACCTTATCTTGCCTGAATGGGTTTAGGCACCTACTTTGTTGTGATAAAAATGTAACATTATGTTTGCCACTGTCTTTCACTTGAAATAAAGTCAGTGTCTTTTCTTGCATTTTTTTGTGGATTCAATTTATAAGTTTCCCTTTACAAAATCAAAGAGGCCTTATTATACTTGAACTCCTTCATAATATTGATTGTTAGAGTAACTAACTGGCCTGTTTTAAAGTGATTGATATTGGCTAGCTAACAGAAGAAAAAACTTCAGGTTTGATCTATGGAGCAAGTTTTTTCTAAGTCTGATACTTCTTTTTTCAGGCTACTACAATTTAAATGTACATACAACTGACTTTCTTGGCTCTGGCATGTCACTTTACTGGTTTTGCTTATTAGTTACCATAAGTGGCAGCGCATAGCCAACTTTTCTAAATTTGTGTTTTTTTTTTAGGTCTGACTTAGATTTTGTAACTTGACCTTCTAGATGGCAATGGTAGTAAATAAAATCTAAGATTTTGATTTAATTCTTTTAATTTGTGTGAACAAGGTAAATGTTTAATACCAATCATGATGAGACCTTAAATTTAGCAAACAGGAAAAAAAAAAAAAAACAATGGAAGAGGCACTTAAAATATAACCAAATTAAATATAAGATCAATTCAATTTTGATATGTTAAAGACTAAAGTCAAAAATCTAGATTATCAGTGATTACATTGAGTCAATGATTTGATGCAATCAGAAACCTAAACCAGACTTGATTTGGTTAATTTGTCTGAGTATAGTGTCGTGAGATGATGTGAGGCGTGAATTGCCTCTATATAAACAAACTGAATTATTACATTTAAAACAGACCTGGAAATATAATAAGGATGACTTTGTGCCCTTTAGCCTTTGGCACCTTCAGTTGTTAGCCCTCCCATCCATCCCCTGGTTGTGGTGCTGACCAGGGTCCTGAATTCTTCTAAATATCTGAAGAAAACAGGTGCAGCTTTAAAAGCGCGACATCAAAAACATGAACAACAAACTGATAAGCTTGTCTCTGTCTCCTAAAACGATATGTGGTATAATTCTCCATGGCACTTGAGCAGGAAAAACATATTTTTTTTATTCTGTCAATGAAAAACCAAAACATATCCAGATCAAATATCCTTCTCAGGTTTGTAAATAACTTGATGGATGTTGAATTATTTCCCTATAGTTCTATCCAAGCAAAATACTATCTTAATTCCTTAACAAAGGGGGAAAATCGATGCTGTACATGATTTATTTAGAAAAAACTAAATTAAGTATTAAGCAAAAAAACTGCATGCCAAAAGCAATGAATGTACAAATATAGCTATAGCTACTGTACATGGCATTTTCAATGCATGAGGGAAAATTTGGAAATAGTTTTTGATGCCTAAAATTGAGATGATTATATTTAAGATTAATAACCATACATCCCATTTACTAAACTGGCACATTACCAGAAGAAAACTGTGAAAGTGCAGGAGATACCCCCCTGGCTATGATGCCCTGGGCGGTGAGCCATAGTAAGGTTCTTTCCCAGATCTAGGTGCTGAAATGTCCAAAATAACAACAAGAATAAAAACAAAAAGTGGTTTGTAGAGTACAAGTCCAAATGCCGCACACTGAAGCAATGACACTGCCTCTGCCCGGTGAGGTGGAGATCTGTCGCTCCTGAGTATCCAGAGGATCCAGAGGAAAGTCATTCACCTTTTAGGTCTGAACTCCTGTCAGAGTTGTCTAGACCAAATCTTAGGATAAAGTTATCAACTGTTATTTGATTTCAATTTTCTCCACGTACTTCACCGAGGTCATAATAACAACTTTATTTTCAGTGGTGCATAAATTAATTACGCGCATTTAATAACTAAAATATCATTATATTCCCCCTTTAATAACATAAACGCTGCACGCCAGGGAAACCCTTAATAGCGCGGGGCCCTGTAACTGGCCATTATCCGCCTGTAATGATATTACAGAACCAATTACGCGCCATTAGAAGGGATTTTCTGCACTTTATGTGGTTTAGTCCAATCCCGCACTCCTCTTCTAAATTTCAGCTGCTTCTCGAAGCCTCATTTTGCCTCCACCTCAGAGACGCATGGCGTCTGCGCTCTGGCGTCCCAGAAGCGCTTTAAAACTAATTGAAAGGGTCCCGCAGCAGATCATTTATCTGAGGAAGCGAAATAAATCGCGGGACCCCTTGCTGTGAACAAAATCAAAAATTTGGCCTTGTGAGTGCTCTACATGCGCAAGCCCTTGTAAAGTGGACCCCCTAACACACCCTGACGAGCAATTAACCCGCCCGACAGTCAATCTAAAACCCAAAAGCAGTCATCCTCCTTTTTTAATATATGAAAGAACCAAATAAAAAAGTGCAGCGGTATGTGTGCATGTTTATGGTCAGGGAATATGCCTCACTCTGAAATAACAATCACTTGTGATGAATTTTTTAGGCACCTTGGGTATGTCTCTCTCCTCTTCTTTTATTTCTGTCTATCCACACACAGCATAAACACACACACACACCAGGGGTTCGGGGTTAGAGAGACAAAGCCGTGATAATCCGATTAGGACCAATTAGGCGTGAGATTCTGCGACACTAGCTGAAAGCCTTAACACTGTGTAGACAGTTATACAGTCATATAGACATCTGGACACTCCCAGAGAGAGAGAGAGAGAGAGTGTGTGTGTATGTTGGAAAAAGAGAGAAGAGAGCAGGAAGGATCTGGACACTCCCAAGCAGAGAGTCAGTGAGAGCGCAGCATCAGCCGCTTCTCTCCAGAGCGAAAACTCACTCTCATCAGCATCTTCCTTTACTTGAAGGTAGGATGGGCGCAGGTCTCAGCTTTGAAGCCTCCTCCGCCGTTTTGTATTGATCTGCAGCAACATAAGACTAATAGTTGCCACTGAGCACATCTGAGGGGAGGCTGAAACTTTTCCCCCCCTCTGTGTTTCAGGTTCCGAGACGCGCCATCAAGGATGTTCTACTTCCATTGCCCGCCTCAACTTGACGGAGAGTGCTGTCGCTCCAACACGCGTGAGTTTTTCCTTCTCTGGTGTCTTTTTTATTATTATTTTTTTAACATTTTTGTGCCAATTTTGCACAACGTTAAAACATTGCTTTGGTTTTAAAAGCTCTGAAAGAAGTTTATTAATCTTGGAGGCATTGCGCACAAAGTGTTTTCAGAAAACAGGCCATCTATATTATCATCTATATTAATAGTTATGTAAAGGCTGCTAAAGTCCTGCTGAAATGTGTTGTTTCTCAGCAATATTTTTAATTCTATAAGCAATTCCACGCGTAAGATTTAGGCCTATTAGAAAAAATGGTTAAATAACAATGTCAACGATTTTAAATAAAGCAATAGCCTTAATGTGTTCCTTCACAAATCTAAAGTAGATATAAAGGGTTTAATGTGATTTCCCCTCTCTGCTTGTGGCACTTTGTTGGCTGCGTTGGTGAGAAGCGCTGGTGGTTTGCCCCCGGGGCAGAGGGGCCCGCTTTGTCCCGAGCACAGATGTTGGGTGTCATGGCTCTTAGTTCGTCATGGTTCCCTTTAGACCTTCTGCGTAAATGTTTCATGAAACAAATGGAAACAAAATATGACCAGTTGGTCAATTTGTATGGGCCTTCTTCTTTTATTATTCAAAACAAACACATGTCCTTGCCTCATGGTTTGTTTGCATCAACGCGTAAAATACAAAGGTTAATTAAAACAGTTTTATCAGTAAAATTGGAAAGATTGATAATTTCTTTTGTTTTAATTTTTTTTTATCTTATTTTATTTAATATTTTTAGTTAATTCAGGCGGATTTGGAAACCACGCCCCGGCTGATTTCGATGATGGATTTCTGCGGAGGAAGCAGCGCAGAAACAGAACAACATTCACTTTACAACAGGTAACTTGTTAATTTCTAAACCTTAGCAGGACACATCTAGGCCTGCATTAAGAAATGTGGGGAAAAAATACAACAGTTGATTGCATATTGGCCTAAAATCAGGCAAAAGTTTGCTTTTTTTTCTTTCTTCAAGATTTGAAATATTCTGTGATTAATAAAGACGAAAAAACTTATATAGTCCAGCTGTATAATGAGAGAGCGAGCTTACCTTTAAACGTTTAAAGAAAGAAAGAAAGAAAGAAAGAAAGAAAGAAAGAAAGAAAGAAAGAAAGAAAGAAAGAAAGAAAGAAAGAAAGAAAGAAAGAAAGAAAGAAAGAAAGAAAGAAAGAAAGAAAGAAAGAAAGAAAAAGCAAACCTATGATGATTAGGTTTGTTAACAGTGAACTGAAAGTTGTGTCCAACCTTATTTTGTGTCCCTGCAGTTGGAGGCTTTGGAGGCCGTCTTTGCACAGACTCATTACCCGGACGTGTTCACCCGGGAGGAGCTGGCCATGAAAATCAACCTAACCGAGGCCAGGGTGCAGGTGAGCCGCATGCAGCGCGCACTGCGTCCTGTCATCGGGCACTTTTGCCCAGGCAAGGGAGGGGAGAGTAAATGAAGCCACTCTGTCATCCCAAAGATACACTTTAATAACATAAACGTAATGGTGAATATTAGATTAGCTTGATTAATCGGTCATTCATAATTAAGCAGCGATAATGTGCTGCACTAATTTGTCCGCGTCTGCATAGGCAGAAATACATCATCCACACAGATCCGGTGACGCACACCGGATCTGTGTGTCTGCTTTTTTTGTTTTATTATTTTTTGGGTTTTAAGAGGTGAAAAAAAGTCAGAATCGACCAAAAATCTTTTTGACTCTGTCCCACAATCACGTCTTAAGATAGGCATTGATATTCGGCTCCTGCCCTGCACATGTGCGCGGTTATAAACTTGGCCAAATGTAATTAGGTTAGGCGTCCTGTATGTAATTTCCCTGCATTCCAGATTTGCTTTTGGGTTTTGTTGTGCGCAGCAGATCTAATTGTAAGAAATATAATAGTTTGGCTTTTTGTTCCCCAGGGTCATCTTTACTATCGCTTAAACCCAATGGTGGAGCTTGATAATGGAATCCAGCGCTGTAAATTAGGGATTGTAAACAAATTATTCCCCCTCCTAATCCGATTACCGCATTCCTATTATTAAATCTGAACATGAATCCACCGCACTATGCAGGGGATATTAAACTTACATTATTATTAGAAAATAAATTTCCTTTCTCTTGTAGTGTTGTTGCCCCCCCCTCCTTTTTTTCCTCTTTTTTTGTAAAGTGTCAATGGGCCCTCCCCCGCATTAAGAGCACGCAGCAAATTGAGATTAATGGAGCAATTATAGCCCATTCAGAGATGGAAGCGGGTGGGGGGGCGCGACTTCTAGCTGGAAGGTGCAGGGGTGAGATAAGTCCATTGGATGCATTGTTGTCCTGTCATGAAAATGTTGTCCCTTTCTCTGCGAAATGAATGCATGCGTTTTGTTTGGCTGTTGACATCATTTATACCCTCTGCTACAATGGAGAGGATACAGAGCACATGCACGCAGACTCTAACCTCCATTCACACACCATGATTAATGCCTGCTAGAACCCAGTCCTAATCGAATCTGATGTTGTCAAACAATCACTAAATAGGGAAATAAACGACTTCATCATAGCTGCCTCTCTCTTGGGCAGCACAACTGTCAGCGGGAAGTCATTAAAATATGATAATGAAAAATTGCTCAATTAAATATTGTTACAGGCACTGACCTTCAGTCGATTAAGATCCCAAGAACTTGGCTATATGTGGTCTTTGCTGTGTGTGGACCATGAAGTTTTTTGGGGATAAATTAGAGGGAGGTTGGGATTTAGAGCACTTGGTGAGGCAGGTTCAAACACCTGAATCAATTGAGCTGAGCTCATCTGATTCAGCTTTTCCAGACCTGTTAACAAAACCCATATTATACTTGACAGGGAAACGGGTGTTCCTTGACATTAGCAGTATAGGGGTCCAAGATCATAATCAGAGGAATGTCAGACCTAGTCTACTGGGGCGTATGCCTCAAGATGTTTAGCAGTCAAATTTCTACTAATGCCACTGTTAGTTAACATAATGTTGGAAAATCAAAAAAGATTAAAAAGATAAAGTAATTGCGCAGTGTAAAAGTCACTTCTGTTTCAGAATGAACAATAAAAGTGCAGGGCAAATAAGAAAAATACAAGTGAAAAACATTAAAAAGGTCTGATCATTTATTTAATATTAAAGTGCTGCTTCCTTCTGTTCTAATATGCTGTTAATCAAGTCTGTGTTGGGAGCACATTTATTCAAAATGCTGTAATAATAAAAAAAAAATTTAACCAATATGTATATTGTTTATGCACAAAAGTCACAAATTCTTTAACAAAGTTCATCCTTTTCTCAGAAAAACTCACTTTATTGACTGCTTTGCTTAACTTCTGCCATTGAAAAAACTTTGAGTCAAAAGCCACAGGCTCCCTCTGAGAAACACAGATATCATAGCAATAGAAAATTCTGCTTCCAAATGGTTATAAGGCCAAAAATGTGAAGACATTTATAATTATAAAAACCAACAATAAAGTCATTCATAACCTTTTATACTTATAAATATTCCCCTGAATGTTTTCAAGAAAATGCGTGCAAAGATTGTTTAAAGGCTATTTCATGTTTTCGGTTACATTATATTGATCAGTGCTTCAGTTTTCTTTGTCATTTTTTGCCTTATTTGAGGATTTCTTTGCAGCCCATCCTTTGGGGGCGAAAAAGATTATTAATATGTGAATATAAATGCATAATAAATCAGTAAGGATGCTAAACAATAGACAGTTTGTCTTATATTTAAAATATAAAATACTTAGATTAAATAATTATTGTTTTTCCAAAATCTTTTATTCTCCAGTTCTTCTTTTCTTTATCAGGCTTTAAAGGCAACACCCTTTGTCTTGAGCGCTCAAAATGTGTCTCTATGTCTCGACAGAAAGAAGATTTTGTGCCTCTGATTGGATTTAAATAATTTTGCTGTTACTTAAAACCTAATGGAACAAAAAAACAAACCAAAAAAAAATCTAGAAGCTGAATTTACATATTTGTTTCTTAAAGGCATCATCACATTGGCCTGCCAGAGAAAATACAAATGTCTCTTCCTCACTTACCTCACAAGATTCTGAGTCCTCGGTTTTCTTGTTTTGTTGTTTTTTTTTTTTTTTTAATGAAAATTAATCATATTTTAAATATATGTAAATGGAGATATTAAAAGTTTTGAAAAACTGATTTTAAGTGTGTATTTTGAAAATATTGTAGTTCTTCTCCTTTATTGCTCCTCTGAAAAAAATTTATCCAGGTTTTTTTTCAGTGATTTCACAGCATAAATATTGATTTATGATTTATACGTATTTCCAGTTATACTACTGCCAGTTTATTTTACATTAAAGTTATGTATTTTTTTTTTCTTTTAATATGTCTAAATCTATGTATATTTGTGGTATTTGTATATTTAGCATATTTATATTTCTCACTTTGATTAAAAATAATATCATAATAACTTGTAACTGGCATGCTATAATAGTTTTCATCAGAAAATCTTAATTAGCCAGGAATGTATTTTCAGATCATTTGAATAAAAGCATCAGCACATCTCTCATGTTTACCTTTCAATGTTTTTCAGGTTTGGTTTCAGAATCGCAGAGCTAAGTGGAGGAAGACGGAGCGAGGTGGCTCGGAGCCTGATGCAGGGAAGGAGCCAATGAGCGATGGCACTCCTCCATCTCGCAGCATCAACTCTCAGTCCCCGGTGGACCACAGCAGGAAACAAAAAGAACCTCTGGAGATACAGCAGAGGTAAAGAAAAAAAAAAGTAATTTCACATATTGCCAAACCCGTGGATCTGGGTGCTGAAAATTCGCCATAAAAGTACCTCTGATTTGTCCACTATTCAAGTTATTCAGGTAGTTTCTGTTTCTTTTTTTTTTGTTGATATATATATATATATATATATATATATATATATATATATATATATATATATATATATATATATATATATATATATATATATATATATATATATATATATATATATACTGTACAGTATGTGATGAGACCTATGTTTGCAGCTCCATGGCATTGTTTACAACATTTTTTCCCTTCAAGGTGCCTTGACGTTTAAAAGCTTGAAATTATAGTTATTTATTGTTATATCTATGTGCATGATAAAGTGGTATGATAACCATACAAGTTTCAAGATGTTAAGATGCAGTTTGTCTGCTCTCTGCAGCATCAACAGGACAGTGGGTCCAGGCGGTCCGTTTTTTCCATCATGCATTCCAGGTACGCTCCTCAACTCTGCCACCTATGCCCAGGCCCTCTCACACGTTGCTACCCTGAAAGGTAAATATGATTCTCACTACCTGTCTGAAGATCCTGTATTTGCTGGGACAAATTCCTTATGAATCCAACCTTTATTCATTGTTCTTACCCAGGGAATGGTTTGTGCTCCTGCTGTGTCTCTGACCCCATGGGCTTGTCCTTCCTGCCTCCCTATGGCTGTCAGGGAAACCGCACAGCCAGCGTTGCTGCCCTGCGAATGAAAGCCCGCGAGCATTCAGAGGCTGTTCTGCAGTCTGCCAACCTGCTTGGCGCCGCAGCCACTCCTGGAGCAGGCATGGGAGTCCTATCCAACGTGAGCACGGCTGGGGTGGTTAGGCCTTCTCTGGGACCCAACATAGAAGTACCCAGCAGTGGTCTGAGAGGAGGAGACAACTCCAGCCCTGGCACCGCTGCAAAAGTCCCGATCCTGGGCAGCAGTCCTGACAAACATCCTCACTGCTCCAAGGAACCTCTGGATAAGAAGTGAGGAGCTGGACACAAATGTGGATGTTTGCTGATAATCTGTGATTAAGCCTCCTGATCTCTTCTAATGCTCGAAAAATGAGCAACAAAGCACAACTGCTGGCTGACTTCAGAAAAATCCTCTGACAGATGTTTTGTATGGATGGCAACAGAAACACATTTATCTGACTGTAAAGTATTCTTGTGAGAAATGCCGAATATCTGGGTTGGTGTGACGCTGGAAAAGAAAAACTGTGTTTTTAATAATTGTCCATCTACCTGCACTCTTGGACTATAATATCTATAACATAGATGCATTATGTGTGAAGCAAAAGGCCTATTTGATAATGTGAATTTTAATAATGGTGTGGGGACTGTTGCTTATGTTCTGAATGTCAGTGCATGAAGAGTGAGTGTTGAAGTTATGATAGTACTGGGGATTTTTTTTTTTTAAGTCAGCAGTGAGACAAAACAATGGTATCTATTTTTTTTTTATCTTAAAGTGAAAGTGCACTTTAGTAATATATCTGCTGTACTACATGTAAAAAAAAATGCCATTGTCACTGTGCGTGTTCAGTTATCCCTCGCTCTCTGTTAGCACATCTGTAGTGGCAGCAGACAGGAAACACACCAGTCCTGTTGTGACATGTTCTTTAAAACAATTAAAGATGTAGTCACTCATGTTCCTCTCCTGTTGCCTCTCGCTCCAGCCATCTGTTCTGATACATAATTTATGAGCAACTCTTAAAGCCAGAAGGGGACTCTTATCATTTATTTACTTTTAGGAACGCTTCCTGTTCCTACTGCTTAACGTTTTTTTAATTTTTTTTATAAATCCAAAAAAAAAAAAAACTATTAATTATGTTGAATTATGTTTAGTGTGTATGTCCACATATTTGTCGACTTCTCTTTATCCCCTTTTGAATAACGCTTTTGAATAACGGGTCAGCTGATCGGACTGATTACACTTAACTGCAGGACAACGGGCAGTAGTTCGCCTGATTCAATTTGAGTCCTTGAGGATTTCCAGGAAATTACTTTTGATAGTCGATAACACAAGTAAGTAAACTACACACACATTATCGTGAATAATTGATGGGAAATTATGTATTACCATGAAGTACTGGTTCAATAATTGATGAGGAGACACCCCCCACCCATGACATAGGAGAAGGAGATAATGTCAGAAGTCGTGTCTGATTGTACACAGCTCACTTTCATCTCTATGTTCATTAATATTACTATTATTATTATGACAACACCATTGTGTGTGCATGTTGTAAATATTTTAAAGATATAACAATAAAGTGATGCACTCATGTTCTTGACTTTTAGATTTTACAATATTTGTATTTAAATGTAGCACCAAATAACCCTGTAAAATGTTCAACAAAACTAAACAAAAAAAAAAAAGGTGCTTATCACTGCATTGTTGGTTTCTTTAGCAGGTACTTTACTGAATCTACAGAAAACATCTTGTTCTAATATAATGGTTTTATTTTAAGTCAATGGGAGAGCATCCATGTTAAGCCGGGTGACATGGCAGCTAATGATAACACATTAAATCAGCTTCACTCCAACAATGTGGCAGATTGGATAGCAGACCTCATACAAAAGGCGCCCAAAAACGCATTCAATCTCCCCAAAATTGACAACAGTAGCTGTGGAATTTAATCATTTGCCAAAACAAAGGAAACTGAAGTCATAATGACTCCGATCATCATTAAGTTCTGCATGGTGCCCATAATTCACTGCTTTAATATTTTATAAACAAGTCAAGTTGGTTGTTGACATTCAGCTTGTGCATGTGGCATCATTGATAATTTTCTGTCACCTAAAAAAAGTCCTGGTGATATTTCGTCGAGCATTGTTATATCAAATTAGCTGGAGAGCATCCAGAAAACAGACAAACACTGTGAATGTGGGGGGGACAGCAGATGAACTCTGTTCCTGCATTGCAGCTAATGGGCTTCTTTTGTTGCAGTAATGAAATATTATTTTTTTTGTCCTGCATAGAAGCAGTAAAATGTGTTAGCCCAGCCATCTACATCTACAAACACTACCCTGCGCACTCAAGAAATCCTTGTAAATCTTCACAGAAAAATTTAAAGTTAGACATAACTCCTAACGTGCAGTCAGGCCTGTTCCTCTGAAGGCCCAAAATGGCCTGCTAACACATCATCTCTGCTTTTAATTCCCACAACAGAGCTGATCAATAACACAATCAATTAGAATCAGTCGAGTTCATGTCTGAATGGAGATATCCAAACAAAGCCATTCTTAATGCAGCAAGTAATGTGCCTGTCTGCTATTTACCACTCAACCACAGCTCTCTCTGTTTTTTTATGACTCAGCAAAGGGATGAGCATCATCAGAGTTCGTGATCAATTCTCATTGGGCTCAGTGACTTTCTTACTGAAATCTTTAAAAAGATAAATATGCAGAATTATGAGGTACAATAACCTGAGATGATAGCTTCAAAAAAGTATTTTTGGCAGAGTGAAATCATTTTGGATGTGTCTTCCTAGTTCATCCACTAGAGGGACTTAGTGAGCAGGAATTGGGTGAATACTTCATACTTCATGAGCTAATCTCAGACTTCTACAGGGAGCCTGAATATTTAAAAGGAAGACATTTTTCATGTAAATTAAGAATGTTTTTTAATCTTTTCTTTTTTTTAGCTATCAGTTGTTATCATTTATCAGGTGTCATTAAGAAAAAATGGAGAAAAATAAGTAAAATTAAGAATCAGTAATTAATTTTAAATTCTAAAGTAGTATTCTTAGTATTACATAAAAAAAATAATATTTCTATAAATGTGTTTTAAAAGGAGTAGAGGGATTATTCTGCTGCCTCTTCCTTTCCTATAGCACTAGGAGCTTGAATGTGTGCTGGTGCATGCTTATATGAACAGGTCTGTCTCCCTTAAGGCCCATGTGTGTGTGTCCATCACCCGAGCTGTTCCGGAGCCACCATCAACAATCCCAGGGAGCAACCCGCTGCAGTGATCTCCTTATAAAGCAGCAGGGGTTGGAGAGGAGGTAGGTGGGAGTGAAAGAGGGAGGAACAGGTCCTCCCCTTCCTGTGCCTTATGGTACTTTTTTTTATTGGATTGAGGAGGGTTGTAGACAGGGAGGTCAGCCATTAAATGTTTGATTGCTGCTTAGTGTGCAATCCAAATTCATGAAGTTTTTCTTTTTAGTAAACTAATGAAAAGCAAAGAAATTATAAAAACATACAGAATCCACAAAATCATTCACAAGCTTCAAAGTTTATTACATATAGTCATAACAACCAAAAGCTTTAATGCACACTCTGAGGATTTTACCTGACAAAAAAAAAATGAATGAATCATCATAAAGTAGGTTAAATATAGGAGTGTTTGGTGTGTGTTTGTGTTAAACTTCCTTACCCTGGTTAACCTTAATAAAATCCAGTGCAAGCAATTGTTAAATTGAGTTTACTTGAGTTTAATTTAATCTCAGTATAAACCTAGCTGTTCTGTAAGGTCCTCAGAAGTTTTTCAGGGAATGTAAGTTAAAAAATTGCATCATTAAGACTGAGAACCACTAAAGACAAGTCAGGCAGAAAAAAAATGGAGAATGTTAAAGAAGGATGAGGTTTCAAAACAGTATCTTCAGCTTTATTTTTCAGAGAAATTTGAAAGCTAACATCCAAAATGGGGAAAATCGAATGGCATGTTTTGGAAAGCTGTTAAAACTTGACTGTCATTCTAAACTTAACATTTAAATACCAGCCACTCCTGGAAGAAACATGTTAGAAGAGATAAAGATATATGAAAATCACAGAGGATTACCTTCTGGTATGACATAAAAAACCCAAACACACATCCAGAACTACACTTCTTTCTGTCATACGCTCCAATTTTCCAGACAAAGTCCAGACTTAAATGCAATGTGGAATCTGTGGCAAAACATGAAAATTGAAGTAAACCAAAGCTTTCAATCATATCTGACTGAAATTACAATGTTTTCAAAGATATAATGGGCATACATTTTAGTCCCTAGATGTGACTCCAAAGCTGGTAAGATGCACATCCTCAAGACAAACTGGAAATTTGGATGGAGAAAATGCTCATTGTTCCAAACGGTCATATGTTCCACACTCATTAGAATTTTACTTGTAAAAATATAAAAAAATATTTTAAAACCAACCATTGCTCTCAGCTAAACTCTACTTTTAGTTCAACTCTAAAATAACATGATGTGTAGTTTTTGTGTACGATGTGACACATTGGGAAAAAGTTAAAGAGGTCTCAGTTTGTCTTGGCTTCAACCAGCTTTGCTGCAGTGTTGTGGGTGGTGACTAAAGGCCACTTGTTTACAGTCCTTCTTACTGTCAGCTCTGTTCAGTCAGGATGACTACACAGTGAGGCTTCCAGCTATTTATGTCTCCATATTGCAGCCCTCTGGGGGCAGCCCTCACACACCCTTCACCCATTTTAAGAAAATGTAGTTTTTCTGCAGTCTTGCTGAGCATTAACCCACTCTACTTTCTGACTTACGTTCCCAGTTTACTCACAGTTAGCCATCACTGCTAATGGCCAACATAGCTGTCCAGATTTATAAATAGTTTAGAGGCTGTTTGTTTCATCTGTCGGACACCTGACACTGGAGGATCTTTCAGACCCACATGCTAAGCTCTAGCCCTCATTCTTCGGCTCCATGGTGGACACTCTCTGTGGGACAGCTCCTCTATTTCTGTTCGGTCTCCTGTCCTGAGTTCCAATGCCTGCTGCTGGTCAGATCCTCCGAGATTTCACAGTGGACCCGAAACTGAATTTGGATTATCCTTAGGAAGAGCCTGGATCTTTCAAAGAGTGGTTGTGTAAGGTGACAGTCCACAACTTGATCTCTTTTGGGAACGGGGAGTTATTACACAATCCCAAAAATTATGGATAATGAACCAGGAAGGTAAGACTATGAGCTTACTGTGTGTTACATACTAAAACCTAATTTTAGGTTAATAAATAAGTACATTGATAATGGAGAGAATTTAAGTAAATGCAAATTCACACACAAAAAAGCCCCCAAAATTTTTTTATCCTAAACTCTTCTGGTTGAAGTTTTCTCTCACCTTCCTGCAATTTGAAAACATTTGGTCCATTCTGTTCTAAAAGGGACAGCTATGACGCTGTTTCAGCCCTTCATGGGGCCAAAGCTGAAATTTACTCGTCTTTGGTGTCGGGTTTTAGAGCTGCAAACCCGTCACTGGACCAAAATAAACCTGTCACAAGCAAGAATGAAAAAAAAAAAAATCCTCTTGACAGTTAGAGAGAGAGAGATTTCTGCTGCATAAAAACACATTTAGAGTAAAGAAATTTCTCATGGCTGGATATGTTTTTATTCAGATATTATGAAAGATGTGGATTACATTTCCAACAATCTGAATGAGCTTGTTAAAAGGAATTTTTATAGTTAAGCTCTTTTCTTAATTCAAAGTTAGCAGAAAAATCTCCACCAAAGGACAAATAGTTTAAATTGCAATTTATTTAGTGCTGACTAAGCATGTGTGAAAATGTGCATGAAATGAATTTTCTCCAAATCAGAGAATAATAATGATTCATTCAGGATATTCTGAGCAGGTTGACGTCTTCTTGGAATTTGCTCTCCTTTAAGCACGTGACGATACTGAGGTACCTTCAAATCATTGACACTTTTTCTGAAATTCTTAACAAGTTTTCACTTACTGTTATAACTTAAACTAAAATTATATTAAAGTTTATAAATAGAGATAAGTGTGAATTGTAAGGCCAGTGAATTCAAGTATATAGAACCACAGTCAGCGTTCAGTTTTTAAATTGTTTACACATACTCACTAATAGTATATCAAATTTTGTTCTCAAAGAATATTTTAATCATAAAAATGCTTTAAAGCAAATATTAAATCTCCTTGATTTTGAAACAAACATTTTTATGACTATATTAAGCGTCATATGAATACATTAAATTGTATTAGCTTTATCTGCTGTTAATTATCTAATCTTACGTCTGAAGACTAAAATTAGAAGTATTTCTGGTACAGCATATTCTACTTTCCACCTGCTGCACTCTCTATAATAAACTGAATGGCTTTTCCAAGACTAGTCTCAAGTAGGTCATACGAGTATTTTTACAATTTCTTTCAGACACTTGTTGCCTAAAACAGCTAAGCTCAGTTAAGCACTTCAAACAGCTCATGTCTTAAATTATTGCTAAATAAGCATCATTATCTGGCTTCAGATGCAAAATGAACTTGTGTGTTTGTGTGTGTTTGTGCTCTGTTAAACCTGCACTGATGCATCCTGATCACCCAAAATAACTCACGTGAGTCTGCCTTTTCTGAGCCTAGCAACAGAGAGGTTTTCTTACCAACATGTCCGTGAAGGTCATGGTGATTGAGAGAAAGGATTTGCAGAGCTGTTTTCAGAACCACATACAGTACATTGCTGCTTAGTTCAAAGAGGGAAAAAAAAATAACTTATCATAAACGAAACATCATATTGACAGAGCTGAAGGGATCTTAGAAAAACCCTTATGCACGCAGTTCCTTAAAAAGGTATTGACAAGATAATTTTGACACATTAGAGCAAGACATAGCAGTGCATTATTGTAAATGGATTGTTGTTGTTTTTACAACTATTTCAAAACAGATAAAAAAATATATATACGTTCAGCATGCCGTTTTTCTTTTTGAGTTAAAACTTAAACCATCTTTGGCAGCAACAACAGCTTTAGGCATATGTCTATACCTTATGCAAACAGCTCAAACTCAGTAGGAAAGATAGATGTGGGAACATCAATTTTCTTTCTTATACTACCACCAACTCTGATTTTTGATTAAAATTTGAAATCTAAGCCTTTCCAGAACATTTATGCTTTTTGAAATAAACCACTCAGTCGTAGCTCTGACTGTATGTCTGGGATGTGGAGCTCTGTAATATTATCAAGGCTTTTGAAATGCTTACTGGATTGTCCTGAATTTATCTTAGTTAATTTCTGACAAGCTTCCCTGTCCCTGCTTGCCAATGCCTACTGTAATGTTGCCACTATTATGTTAACCTGTGGAGATAGCTATGTTCAAGCTGATGCTCTATATTAACTTTCTTGGCATATTTGAATTATGTTATTGTTTTATAACCAAACTCAGCAGCAAAGCTTCTAAATCTTATCAGTCTCAAATCACTGAGTCTTAAAACTGCTGTATTTATACAAAATTAACTTGCACACAGTGGGTCTCTAGTAGAAGACTTCTGAAAACAATTGGTTGCAGTACAACCAATTGGGGGAACTAAAAGTTGAGGTAACTAATAGAAATGCAGAACACACAACAAAATGCACAACTCAGAAAACATCATGTAAAAATGTGAATAAAGTGTGTTATTTTTCTTTCACATCACAGCTATGTGCTTCATTCTGTTGGTGTGTCAGATAAAATACAAATAAAATGCATAAATGTTTGTTGATGTTATGGGAGAAAATGAGGAGAAGTTAAAAGGGGGGAATACATTTGAAAGGTGCTGCCTTTCAAGTTTTATATCACACACCATTGTCAAGAATGAAGGTTTTTTCTTTAAAATGTTTATTGGTTATGTTATCAGTTATAGGCTAATTTGTTTTTATTTTCTTCTTCCAGGACAGCAGCAGATTTAAGGATTAAGTGTGTGGAGCCAAACTGAAAAAGGCAATGCCTTTGGAGCAAAACCTGAACAGAGGCCCCAATCTCCGGGTGCAGCAGCTCCACCAGAAGAAACAGCGTGAATCGTTTCGGTCTATATTTTCTATTGAATGACTGAACAACTGTTTTGGTCTGTAAGTCTAAATCATGACCTCAGTGGAAAAACGCCGCTCAAGCAGAAAGAGCGGTGGGCATAGGAAACAGAGTGATGGAGGCTTCAGTGACACGTCTAGTGGAGGTTCCTTCCTAGACGAAACTGATCGGGAGGTCAGCAGTCTGACAGACAGAGCATTCAGAAGCCTTTGCATCGGGGATGAGGCTATTTATAACGACTCTGACCTGAGTTTGTCTTCGCCGAGCACCAACTCAGACAGACAGCTGGCTTTTGGCGGAGAACAAGAGGAGAAAGAAAGAGAGGACCGAAAGAGAGTGGCCCAGAAGAATTTCAACCTCCGGATGCAGCAATATGGACACGAATGGATCACTGGAGGGATCTATGGAGCAGAGATCCACAGAGATCCGCAGTGGGAGGCTCATGGGGATAGGACACTGGGGATGGTTTCTGCCACATTCCAGCACTCCCTAGTGGAAACCTCACAGTTGGACAAGTCTCTGAGGGCAGAGAAGCTGTCCTTCCACAGCAATGGAGCCACAGAGCTACATTCACAGCAAAGCAGAAGCAACTCTAGAGTTTCTTCTCTCATTAGAGCATTTGACACTGACAGGCACAGAGATGGACCGGGAACAGATGATATGATTAGAGAGCAGAATGATGAGCCAAGTTGGGACAAATCTGCTCTGATGAGTATTCAGAGAGAACTTTCTGAATTCTCATGTCAGCAAAATTTTAAAAGTCATAATTTTCATCCTGCCGGGTCATTTTCATGTCGGGATGCCAACTTCTGTCCCTCTGAAGCAGAAAAAATGGCCCAAATATCTCACAGCTACATGAAGTCATCACAGATTAAACACAGTATGTCTTCACAAGTGAACTGCAGCTCCAACTTCTTTATCCATAGTGAGTTTAGTCCCTTTAAGCTATGGAGAGATTATAACAGGTTTCCTTTCCAGGGAGCAGAAGCCTCAGGCTTTATGCATTACTCAGGGTTTCCTAAATGGTATCAGACACCAATGTACAATGAACTTTCTCTTGAAAAACAAGCCGGTAGTCATTGTAGAGAAATCAGACACCCGAGGAGCCACCTTGAATATCCACGCTCCATCTCAACATCCTCTCAGCTTCAGAGACCTTCAGCTGTGGAGAAACGCTGTGAATCTGAGCTGGCAGTTCATCATCATCACAGGAAGTGGGCACAAAGCCTGGGGACTAACAAACTTCCAACCCATCGCCCGTCAACTGCGTCGCCCTCAACAGACATGTCTCGACGTGTCAGAGACACCATCAGCTCTGTCAAAGCTCTGCAGCAGAAGGTTAAAATGATTTCAGAGCATGAAATGAGCAACCAACATGGAGTGTTCAACAGCACTGAAAGCTGGATTTACTCAGGCAACAATGCATTGCCAGTGGGGACTAATGTTGTCAGCGATAACACAGTAAGTTCCTTTAGAACTGGTCAACTGCTGACTCCTTCTGTCCAAAAACATCAGGACACAGATATATCTCATTTACAACAGTATGAAGTGTCCCCTCAACCAGTAGAGCATGCTCCAGTGCGAGCTGAAAGCAGAGGAGCAACTCCAGAGGTCAGGATGTCCAGCTACAGATCCCGAGCCTCAAGCCTTCTCTTTAACCTAAAAGACAACAGAAAAAGAGTGAAAAGCACTTATAGTCCAAACAAATTTAAAGGCTTTGATACACTGGAGAAAAACCAACAGCCTTCTATACAGGAGCCACATGAAATTACATTCACTGATTCCAATATTCAGTGTCTCCAGCAGGAAATACCTAGAAGGACAAACGCTTCTGTAAACAAGTATCACATCCCTGGACTATCACTTACATCCCAGACTTCTCATACTGCCAGTGTTAACACAGGCCAAGATCCAGAAAACACTGAAATCAATTACCAGGCATCACAGATGCAGGGTCAGATGGGTTACAGCTCTGGACTCACTAACTCCATGCCTTCAAGTTACTCCAACAATCAGCTGTTAGGAATTGGGCAGAATCCCAATCAATCTCTTGCAGCATTTACTCCTTATAGCCAAGAAACGTATGGATCTGGAGAAGTCAAGCAGCCTTACTCAGCTATGGACACAGTAAGACTGAGTGTTGACAACAACCAGCGCAGTTTAAATAACACTACAGGAAGGATGTCCACAAAGGGGGAGAATCTCAAAGAAAGCAAACTAGATCACAAAAATGTGTCCCTGCAGGATAACTGGAGACAAACAAGCAACCAAAATACAGAAAGCAACCAAATCAAAACCAGTGTTTCGCCAATGAGAAAGAAAACATGGTCTTTCATAGACGGCTCAAAGCAGGAAACTCTGGAAGGTAGAGAAACAAAACAGTTAACAGATGCAAATTTAATACAGAATCACAAAAGAATTACCAATCAATATGACACAGGCATAAAAAATCTTGATTTTACATCAGACAAAGGAATAAACATGCTAACAGCAGACCATATTAAACAAAATATACCAGTTCTAAATGAGAAAAAACAAACTAAATCGGATTTTGAGAAGGAAAATTCAGCACTTTTAATCCCAGGAAATGCATTTACCAACACAAAGGCAAATCAGGTAAAGGACATACCGAATGTGGACATCACATGTGAACAGGTTGAGGAATTCCACATGAAGCCACAATGTTTTCCAGCAGAGCTAGCCAAGCCCCAACAACAGGCTCATGAAGAGACACCCAAGAAAGAACAACCTGGGTTTATTTTAACAGGGCAAACTGGTTTAGAGACTATCAAATTACCAAAATCAGAACCAATACAGCTGACAAATATTAAACAAGTCAAAGAGGAACATACAAATACATTTGAGAAGAAAGATCAATATGGAAATAAGTTAAAAAACAAATGGATTAGGCCCAATGAAGACAAGCAGATAGAGGATGAAAAAGAATTGGTTCAGAAGCCAAAAGACAAGTCAACAAATAGCACGAAGAAAATCCCTAAGATGCTCAAAACAGAACAAGCTGAAACAGAGAAGCTAAAACAGGAAAACATAAAAACTGAACTGGCAAAGACTGAGACGCCTGAGAGGGTCGGAGCCAACCAAGTTAAATATGATCAGCCCATTAGCGTGCAAGCAGAGGAAAAACAGCGAGACACAGAAAAAGCTGAAGGAGAGCAGATGAAAGAGAAGAAAATCAAGAATGAAAAAGTGGAAGAAGAACAGATCAGATGTGAAGAAAAGGAGCAGAAAGACCAGTCACAAACTGAAACACTAGACATGAAGCAAATGGATGCTGAAGTGCTAGAGGTCAAAACAAACCAAATAAAAGGAGAGGATGTCAGAGAAGCTGGGGATGAGAAAGATTTAAGTCATACATGTCAAATTAATTCAGAGCTGGCTACATCCTCTACATGTAACAGTGAACACACAAAGGTAGAGATAAAAGGAAAATTGGAGCAAAAGGAATCCAAGCTATCAAAAACAGAAGACCTGCTCGAGAGGTCAGCTAAACTCCAAGCTCCACAACAAGACAGGCAGGAACCAGACAGAGTGGAGCAAGTTAAGTCAGAGTTAGCTAAAGCCAAAGCAGAGTTAGCCAAAATAAAAGAGAAAATGAGAGGAGAGCAAAAAGAAAAGGTTAGAAATATTCTTTTTACTGATGAAGAGAGTACCTTGAAAAACCTTGATCATATACATACAAATACTGTTAGTAATGCAGACAGCAAAAACCAGAACCACCCAATAGAAATGCAAATCCATGCAATTCCAAATGATTATGAACGGCTTAGGGAGAAATATGGTTTTACTCAAGCTGTGTCAGCAAACTGCACCAAAATGTCTGTCACAGAAAATGTTCTCTCAAACGATGTCAACAAGACCGAAGCTGAGTCAGGAAATAATTCAAAATCAGTTAATGGGCCTTCTTTAAAGAACTTTATTTTGACATCACAAACAGAAAATAAGGAATGCGTCAGAAGTTTTGGGGGCAATGAGGATACAGGAAGTCAGTTTCAACACAATGATGCATTAAAAAAGACACAGTTATTAAGCTCTCACTCTCACCAAAAAAATTTGAAGGATAAATCTAACAATGCAGCAGAGAAATTGAAGGAAAACACTGCCCCGAAATTGGAAAAAATAAATGTTTTTAAAGACGTAGCTCCACTGCAAAAAGTATCTGCTTCGGTTAAACATGAAAGAAATTCAATTGATCAACGTACAAACTCAAGACTAGATATGGCTGTAACTCCACCTAGAGCTTTATCTCAGAAGGAGAAAGCTCAAACTAAGCAAGAGATACTGACTTCCAAAATAAAAGCTCATGCTGAAAAAGAGATCTCTGCGATAAAAGAAAAGACCTTGTCTTTACCAGAAGGTTTTATTGGTAAAAGTTCCACCAAGCACTTAGCAAACGGTCAAAGTGCTAATGTTCAGCAGAGGCCTTTTTTGCAGGAGGTGTTTAAGAAGCAAAAAAACATGGCTTCTAATAAAATCACACCAAAGCATCAAGTGGAGCCTTCAGAGGTACAAAAAGAACCAACCGCATTTGCTTCATCTTTGAGCGATGATACAGCAGGTCGTGGTGATTCTGCCGACTGTTTAGAAGAACCAACTAATCAACTAACAGGGACAAATGTGAGTAAAGCCTTGAATGGGCATATGGAAAAAGAAGGAAATCTCATAGAGACATCTGAAAAACTGCTGATAGAAGTCAAAGAGGAAACTCCTTCCAAAACAAAAGAAGATCTAGCACAAAGTACAAGTCTGTCTAAACCAGTGACTGTAGTGGATACCAAAACTAAAGAAGCAGCTTGCAGTGAGTCAGGACTGATTGCGAGTCTGAATAAAAAAGAACCTTCGCTATCAAATGACACTGTACAGATTATGGGCATCATGGTTACTGTAGTAGAAAGAGAACCGATGCAGAGCACTGGCTCCCTAAAAGACGATGTGGAAAAACAAACTGCTGCAGCAAAAGTAGATTGCAATAAACCAGAGAGAGGCAAAGAGAATCCCAGCCACAAGGAAGCAGAAGAAGATAAGCATACCCTTGTTGAGCATAATCGTATAAAACATATGCAAGAAGCTTTAACGTTGGAGGTGATTGACAAAGAAGTAACAGCTGAAACGACAGATCTCAAACTTGATGCAGAACATCTAAGAAAAAGAAAACCTGAGACAATGGCTGTATCATCCAAAGATAGACTGTTGGACCAAACTCAACACCAAAGGGAGAAATTTGTAGAGGAAAGAAAGGATGCCACAGTTGAAATATCAAAGGAAAAAATGTCAGAAAACTCTAAAGACACAAAAAGAAAAGATGATGAAAAGCAACAGAAAATGCAAAAAACACTTATAGGTGAAGTGTCTCATGAAAAAGTTAACAAAGCTGAAAATAATTGTCCCGTCAAAGATGATACAACTGGTGAAATCCTTTCCAAAGCCAAATGTGCACCAACACAAGAAGATAACATCTGCCCCTCTTCCTCATCTAGCTTATTCAGCTTTGGTAGTCCCAGCAATAATCTAGTCTTGAATGAAACGAAACATGTGTCTCAGAACCTTCAATCAAATGAAAAACATAATGCGGAGCATAATAAGGAAGATACTAGTGTACATATTGGCAACATTGCTATCAGAGTTATGCCATCTGGAGGTAAAGAAGATCATGTGGGTATGATGGAAAAGAGTAAGATCAAAACAATTTCTTCAAGTAAGGATTCTTCCTATGAACAGTCACAAGTTGCAACATCTAGTGGAGAAAGAAAAGCAAAGATTTCAAATACTGGAAGCTGTTCTGAAAACTCAATTCCGGCAAAGAGTGAGGAGATAATAGAAGACAATCTGGAAGAAAAATTAGCTGTACAGTATGTTCTCTCGAGTGTGAAGAAACTGTCTGACACACTGAAGGCAAGTGATAAACAGAACAAAGAAAATACAACCAAGGAACATATTGAAACTCAAGGCAAAAAGTTTGATTCAAGTGTACAGCTAATAGAAGCAGACTATTTTCAAGTACAAGGGCCAGAAGAGACAAGCGATATGTCTCAAAACAAGATCAGACCTGAAAATGGTTTAAAGGAAAAGGACATTCAGCAGTTATTACCAAGCAAGACAATGATCAGCAATGAACTGCATGAGGATCAAAGAAGTGATGTTTTTGTGTTTACTGTTGATCAGAGTGAAAGAAAAGCAAATCAGTCACTTTTAGCAAAAACTCAAGGTGAAAACTTGACAAGAAAAACAATGGAAAATGAAGATAATATAGTTGCTTCGAAACAGACTGATGGTTCCATGGAGAGTAGAGGTGATAAAAAGATGGAAGCAGAGCAATCTCTCACTACCACAAAACACAATGAAGAGAATCGGTTTGACTCCTCTGTGAAGGAAAGGCATAATTTAAGTAATAAACATTTAAGAAACACACACTTTGCTAAAGAAAAATCGGAGGTTAAACCAAAACCAAAAGAACGAGTCTGTGCAGTTCCTGAGATATCAGCTATTGCAGACTATGCCAGGTTAAAGGTAATTGTTTCAGAGGATAAAGAAGACCTTCAGAATCAGCAATTACCACCAAACAAAAGGGAAGGGTTCTTCCCACTAATTCAGACCCGTCATAGCAGATGTCCTGTGTTTACTGACGACCCACAGGACCGTTCTATGAAAACCCAAAGCTTGCCAAATAAGACAGAGATAAGTGCCACAGTCGATAAAAAGCCCAAATCTGTAGGATTTCCAATAATGGAGAAGGAACACCAAAAAACTGGCATGTTTAAACTAGGAGATAAAGAAAAGCAAGAAAAACTGAATGCCAAAATGAACATAAGTTCTTTAGACAAAAATAAAAGTGCTGAGAATCAAACTGATATAAACAAGTCAACCTCAGCCAAGACAGAGCTATTGGTACAAGCAGCAGAGAGACATCAAATGAGTGCCAAAGAAGAACAGCAACAGAGGAAAGCCACACATGAAGAACAGAGAAGAGCGACAGAGGAGCAGCAAAGGATGTCTGAACAAGAGGAGCAACAGAGGAAGATCACAGAAGAAGAGAATATCAGACAAACTGAGGATGAACAACAGGGAAGAGCAGCAGAGGAACAGCAAATGAAGACTGAAATAGAGGAACAACAGAGGAAGCTTGCAGAGATCAAACAACGGAAAAGAGAAGCACATGAGCAGGAACTTAAGGGTGTTCCATTTGAGGAACAGAGGAGTATTGCAGAAGATCAAAGAAAAGTAGAACGGAGAAGAGCAGCAGAGGAGCAGCAAAGGAGGGCTGCACAAGAGGAGCAACAGAGGAGCATTGCAGAGAATGAACGAGAAAGAAGAGCAGAGTGGGAGCAGCAAAAGTGGGCTGCTCAGTTAGAGCAACAGAGTGGAATTGCCGAAGAAGAGCAAAAAAGACAAGCTGCACACGAGGAACAGAGAAGAGCAGCACAGGAGCACAAAAGGAGGGCTGCACAGTTAGAGGAACAGAGGAGGATTGCAGAAGAAGAGCAACGAAGAAAAGCTGCATATGAGGAACAGAAAAGAGCAGCATGGGAGCAGCAAAGGGGGGCTGCACAGTTAGAGGAACATAAGATTGCAGAAGAAGCGCAAAGAAGAAAGGCTGCACATGAGGAAAAGAAAAGAGCAGCACAGGAGCAGCAAAGGGGGGCTGCAGAGTTAGAAGAACAGAGGAGGCTTGCAGAACAAATGCAAAGAAGAAAAGCTGCATATGAGGAAAAGAAAAGAGCAGCACAGGAGCAGCAAAGGAGGGCTGCACAGTTAGAGGAACAGAGGAGGATTGCAGAAGAAGAGCAAAGAAGAAAGGCTGCACATGAGGAACAGAAAAGAGCAGCACAGGAGCAGCAAAGGGGGGCTGTGGAGTTAGAGGAACAGAGGAGGATTGCAGAACAAAAGCAAAGAAGAAAAGCTGCATATGAGGAAAAGAAAAGAGCAGCACAGGAGCAGCAAAGGAGGGCTGCACAGTTAGAGAAACAGATGAGGATTGCAGAAGAGCAAACAAGACAAGCTCCACATAAAGAGCAAGAAAGAAAAACATCAGAGGAGCAGCATAAGAAGCTTGGAGAGGAATCACAACAGACAGCAGCAGTACAAGAAGAATTACAGAGAGGAGCAGAAGAGGAGCAAATAAGTCTTGGACAAATAATACAGATGAAGGAAGGTGCATATGAACACCACAAAGGGAAAACTGAACAGGAACACCAAAGAGCAGCAGAAAAGCAGCTAAGCAGAGCATTGCAAAATGAACAACAGAGGAAAGGAATAGAAGAGAAACAAAGAAGAGCTTCACAATTAAAACAGAGCGAAAAAGAACATGAACAGCAATTAAAAACTGCAGAAGAGAGGAGGCAAAGAAGAGAAGCGGAGCAACAAGAGGGAGTTGGTCAAAAGGATGGACAAATTACAGTTTTTCCAGAAGAACATAAACACAGGGAATTATATGACCAAAAAACAAAATCCTCACACAATGAGCAACAGAGAACAGCCTCTGAAGAGCAACAGAGAAGAGCTGTGCAAGAGGAGAATCAAAAGGAGGACTTAGAGGAGAACTGGAAGAGGGTTGCACAAGAAAAGCAGCAAAGGATACCATATTTGATTGAAGGGAAAATACAAGTTAAACAGGTCAAAGAGCAAACACAAGCACAGATTGAAATGGAAACAAAGGGAAAACCAAGAGTGGATGTAAATGCTGGTTTGATTTCAGAGAAAGAAAGCATCAAACAGATGCAGGAACATAAAATGCTGTATCGTATTGAAGAGACAAAGAATGAAGGCGAAAAGGAGAAATCTGGAAAGTTGGAAAATGATAACAAAACTGCTGAAAAGGAGAAAATCATGAGAGAAAATAGAGTACAAAAACATGTCAAAGAAAGTGTTAAACCACAAGATTTTACACCAACAAAAACAGAATATGACACTGATGTTGAAAAGATGAAAGGTGAGAAGTTAACATCTCCAAAAGACAAAGCCGTAGACCTTCCAATGGAGATGGGAAAAAGAGTCTCACAGAACACGGATGCTCTGCAGTATTACGCAATCACCTCAAACAACAGAGAGAAAACACCCAGGGATAGACAGTTGTCCCCCACTTCACCATTACAAAATCAAAATAAAAAACTACAAGAGCCTGAATCATCCAATAACTTGTTGTACCACACTAGACCTCACAGACCTCAAGCTGCTGTATCCCCAGCTCCATATCTACCTCGTTCCAACACCTCCTCTCCTGCTCTTGGTGCCAAGCCTTTAATGTTTAGAGTAAAGGATAACACCATCCGAGGTTCCTCTTTCACAAAGTCAGTGAAGCCACGTTTCCATAAGAACTTCGGAGAGGATTTCTTAATGGGTTTAACGTTGGATGGAGGATCAGATAAAACAGGGGAAGACCAGGAAATACTTAGACAAAATCGAGGGACCCCAATTAATCGCTTTGCTGCTATCAATGACTCAGCAGCTGCTCTGCTGTCTTCATCACAGGATAACTCAAACTCTTTGCATCATCTTAGACCATATTCTAGGAGAGGTATGGCAATGGATGATGATGAATCCCGCTCTGTCATTAGTAATATGTCAGAAGATGTAGAAAGCTTTGCTACCAGTGCAGCTGATCTGACCGACATGCAAGGCCTGTTTGACTTTGACAGACCGGAATCAGCTTGCAGCTTCAGCAGTGATATTTCTCGTTCTATGGGCAAACCTCCAGCTGTTCCACCAAAAAGTGAAAAAGCCTTGCGCAGAGCTCAAAGGTTAACCTCTAGAAGAATAAAGAAAGAACTCTCAAAGGTGGCAGCAGAAAGTCCTCTGAGAGTTGGGAAAGACGATTCCAGTTTTCCTTCTTCATCCCAATCATCCAATGAGGTATGCTCCTCCAACTACCATGCTGTGGCTTCTCCCCACTTTACTCCACCTGTTGCTGTTGCTCTTGCCCCAGCTCCAGCTCTTGGATCTAGCTTGCATTCTTCTCATAAAGATCACAAATCCTCTCATCACTCTTTTCATGCCTCTCCTCATGCCACTGACCCCATATCTATTCCCAGTTCCTTGTCTCATGCTGGCTCTGCAGTATCGATTAATGGTTCTAGTACTGCTTCCAAACCTGTTGCCCTTCAAACAGTTGCTCATGTGTCTTCTTCTCCAGCTCTCCATCACGTCAATCACCCGGCCACCTCAGTGACACAATACCATGTTGAGTCAGCCAATTATCCTCAATCCTATCCATTGACGCAGCGCAAGGTTCTACAAGACCCGGGATCGGGTCAGTACTTTGTTGTGGATGTTCCTGTTCAAGTAAAAACAAAGACTTTCTTTGACCCAGAGACAGGAAAATATGTTCAACTGAAAGTACGCCAGACTGGTCTAAACATTTCTCAACCCCAGCTTCAACAAACCTACCAACAGCCTCAAATCCAACCACAAATACATATAAGGCAACAAAAACAGCCCCTATCTATTAACAGTAAGCCTTTCAGTCTATATCAACACAATAATGGCACTTCCCAAAACTACCAGACAGCAGTTGTCAACTCGGTGCTCCCGAGCAACACATCAGTCCTAGCAACTCAACAGGTCTTAAGGCAAAACCACAGCTACGGAAATCCTGAAGTAGATCAGAACTCTGCTGGGCATCGCTACAGTCCAGAGAAGACACCATACATGGACACGGTTAATGACGTCACCAAAACATACAATTTGGCCAACAGCAAAGAGGACACATGCAATCCTTCGATCCAGTGCGACAGCCAGCTTGATAAAAGTTCTGTTTGTGAGAACGACCACTCAGCTAATTCAGAATATCAGTCCCGCCACATCATAGCCATAAGTGAGTTAGAAGATTTCATGGAGGTGTCTGACTGGTGACAGCAAAAAATGACATAGATTTTAAAATCTATTTGCCAAAATGATAAATGAAACAATGTATAAATGCAGATACATATTTAGAACAACCTCCTTAGTTGAAACACATCTTGTTTTTGACTAAAGTTGTCATGGTGACATGCTCTTAAACTGCTGATGATGTCTTTTTCAGAGATTAGATGTTCTATTCTATATTTATTATTCTATATTTATTGTTACCATTCCACTTGACTTTGAATGTCAGAAGCAAACATATGTCTCCTGGAATTACAGAATCATCCATATCCAATTTCCTCATGCGGTAAACATACCTTATATATACAAATTGCAAACCCCCTTTTATGAAATGCTTTTGTCCTTGTAAGAAAATGCATTTGTACGGCATTATAAACGATGAATGGACTGATATACTTTCCTGTTGTAAAAGCCTTGTAATGCATGAAATATTAACTCTTTAAAGCCAAACATTTACAAATGGTATACAACATAACTTTTTTTGCGCAGCAACAGTGTCAAAATAAACATGGTGACATGCTAGTGATGAGGTGTTGCTGTTTTAAAAGTTATACAGTAGTCTATTTTTGAAAGAGGGATGTTTCTAGGAGTGCTTTTGTGTTGCTGTGAATGTAGCAGGGACTTTTTTAGACAACAAAAACACCTATTTCCCATCATGTGGATGTTGAAATGTTTCTTTTGAGGGTTTAAAATAATAATAAAAGAATCTGGAGGATTTCTGAAATAGATGTATTTTATTTTTACAATTTTGTTTTTTTCACAAGTGAAAGCCTGTATATGTAAAGCTTTTGATGATGGTTTGTAAGTTGTTTGAGTCCTACTTTTTGATGGATGGCTGGCTGGTGGAGGAGTCTGCATGTGTGACAGGAGTCATTGGCTCAATCGGACTACCTTTCATCTTTTGCAGGGTCAACAGTTAGAACTCTATCCAGGGTAGGACAGGAGCTCTTGAACTGCTGTGCTGAATCCATACAAGCTTCAGCCTTACAGAGGTCATTAAGCAGCAAATGTTAACATAACTGACACGGGTCAAAATCGGACTACACCCTTATAAAAAAGAACTACAAAAAAAGTTACATGAATATAAAAAAAATGACTGAAATGTCTCGTTATAAAACCCAAAATATATGAAAATTTATGAATTGGCTTGTGTCACGCGTATTACATGTGAGAAGATAACGTTTTTGTTAAACTCTTTGAGGTAGACTATGCTGATGCAATCTGTCTCATAATGGATTGTGTAATCTGTAAGGTTCTTAGTAGTGAACAGGGACAATAGGAGTTCCCTATGCTGATGTATTCTCGCAAGAAAGCCTAGTGCTTCATCCTGCTTGCTCCTTCCTAGCTGCATGCACTATTTGGATAACACTTATTATTGTGACTGAGGACCCACTCCCACTGTGGCTTAAGCGTCATTGCGAGTCTTGAATTTCATCCATTGTCCACTACAGTTATCCCTACCAGACGATTTGTTGTTTCCTTGTTGACATGATTCACCACCTTCAGGACAAGTAGTTCCCTTCCCAAACTGAGGGTGGCTGTAGTGATACTCTCAAGTGGAATGTCATAACAAATTTGACATTTTACCAGTTAGGCCTACCATTAACTGACAACTAAACACAGCATTAAATACTCACATCAATGTACTAACATTAAAGATGAAAAATACTAAATTAATTTCTTTTGTGTTTTATGGGAGAAAAGGGAAAGTTATGTTCTTCTTCAAGTCATGTATAAGTCTCCAGTGTAGCTAAAGATACAGGACAACTGCTCAACAACTTTCATTTGTCTATTATGCAGAAACAAATTGTTAAATTAGACAGCATACGTGTGTGGTGTGGCTATGGCACTCTGGGAGTAACAATTTGACTGTCAACATTTAGATAGGAATAGATACAAAAAGCCTTTGGCCAGTTACCTAAGTAGGTAGATGCAGCAAAGTAAAACGCTACAGAAAAATTAAAGAAACTGTTTACACTTAATAAAACAGTGAGCCTGAAATGTGTTCCATCATTTGTGGATTTAATTGAAGTTATACAATCATATTGCTTATAGGAAAACATAGTACAGCAGGAAACATCATGGGAGAACTAAAATATCTAAACTCACATGAGAGAAGCAATCTCAGACCAGAACAATAAAGTACATATAGTACTAAACAACCTTCAGACAGAACAGAATAAAATTAGATAATTTTTTAGGGTATTTTATCCTGTTTTTCTTTCGTTACAATTAATACAGTATTTAATTTCCTAACAGAAAAAAACAACTTTAGTCTACTTCAAAAAACAACTAGAGTAACCATACACATAAATAATACTGTATAAACCATATATTGTTATGGTCTTGCTTGCATATTACATATCCTTGTCTTACCATTAAAGGGCCTTTATCTGTTAAGTTTTATAATGGATGTGCTGTTGCTCCCCTGAGAAGTAGTTACCTGCTTTGACCACTGTAGGGCAGAGGAGAGCAGATCCCAAACTTGAGCATAGGATACATGAGAAGGATGTTACATGGGGAATCTTAAATTACGTATCACTTTAGCAGATTTAAACACAACCTTTAATTCGTAACATCTAAGATATTATGACTTAGGTTTAGGATCCATAGTGCACACTCTAGATAACATCTGTGTGTACATGTCCTAAAATTTAAGTTTAGATGGGATTAAAAACTCTAGGAACAAAGCCAGCACACTTTCCACTGATTCCATGCCTTTCATAAGAATCATACATACTGTCTGAAGGGTTAAATGTGTTGTGTAATTTCATTTGGCTTTGGCAGAGCTGAAAGCCAGCAGAAGCCCTGGCTCAGCAGTTTAGCCTGCCCAATAAAGCAGCAGGCTTCATACCACTGGGACAATCTGACGACCGCAGCCAGAGACAAGCCCATGCCACTCTGTCCAGCAGCCGGAGACACAAAGACGTCCCGCTTCTGTGTGTGCATGAAGAGAAAGCTTCAAGAAAAAAGAGTACATGTTGTGCTTAGACAAACTAAAAAAAATTCTTTTTGAATATGCAAGAGGGGCAAACCCTGGGATAAGATAAATCCGTCACCTATGTGTTTTTGGGTGTTAGGCCGTGATCCAACACCCACTCTCAGGAACACAGGAAATGACATTTCCTACGTTTAGGAGGACACACAGGGAAAGGCAAAGAGAGGTTGACTGAGACATTTAGAGGGGAGAGCGAGGGAGAGAGTGGGAGTTTCTAAGTGGGAACAGAGCTTTTACTGTTTCATATTACAGAGAAAAGAGGAGAAAGAGGAGAAGAGTTAATGGTGGGTAAGGGCTCTGGTGGGTTGTGCAGCCAGCCTCTGTTTTGAATGTAGCTGCTTGTGAAAGTGCAGGGCAGTTGTCTGGGTTTATGGATTCGCAGACTGTGGAAAATGTACTTCTCTATAGTGGTCCTTGTCCTGACTAAGACTCTAGTCACAGGTAAGTTTATTTTGTCTGCAGCAACAAAGCTCAGCGGGAAAGTAAGGTAGGGGGGGTTAAGAGTAGCATTAGTGCACACTGCAACATACAGTATGGATTCAGTTTTAATCTACAGTATGAAAATAGATTTTTTATTTAAAGTGCAAGAGTTAAAATCTGCATTTGCTCTGGTTGTTTTGGTTTTATGCATTTAAAGTGAACCATATGTGCTTGTTTTTTTTTTGTGTGCTAGACTTGTTGTTCTCCTGATTTATGACATCTGTTCAAACCAATCATCAAATACTTGTATATTTTACAGCCACATAATGTTTTGAACCATATGATTTGACCCTATTTTTAAGTGACCACATACCTAAAGATGGAAAAATGCCCTGTATAAAAAGGGATTCCTGATCAGAAAACATTTTTTTAGTCGTTTTAAAATGTTTGGTCTCTGTGATCTATCAGAACTTTTGAATCTTACAAACAGTCATAAACTTGACAAAAAATGATTTTTAGTTGCTTCAGCATACATTAACCTTTCTATAAACTTAGTTTCTGGTTATGATGATGTATCATGTGATGCTTGACATAACCAGAGACAGACTCCTAAATGACACAACAAGAACAACAAAAAGCAGCAGCAGATGTTGCCAGTTATCCTGCCTTTGTGGATCGGGTTTTACTGCACTGAGGATGAATGTTTCCCACCTGTAGCATTTCTTTGGTCATCCAATCGCTGATTCAAATTCTGTTTTACACACATATGTCCCAACTTCCATCAGAAGAAAGAAAAATTATGTAGAGAGAACCATGATAGTAGTGAGGAGAGTTTGATTTGTTGATTTCACTCTTGAGCTCTTTTGCTTTTTAGCGGTACAGACGAAATTCCCATCTGGTGATGGAATGAGACATATAAGCAGAAACAGTCATACTTTATGCTGTCAACAGCATAAATCCTACAGCCCACTGCTGGGGTGGGTTTATAACTTAGTTTCTGTTAATGCTACAATAAGATGTAAATGACAGGGAATAAATTGGTTTAAAAACAAACTCAGACACTTCCATGTAAGACATATTTTCAACTCCAGTAATTTCCTAATTGAAATAAAGCAAGAAGAAGTCACGCAAGCTGAGTCATTCTGTGAACATGAGGCCTATCATGGCATAGGGGCTTGTTTGGTGGATGGTTTCATTAAACAAGGGACACACACACGGAAAAACTTTCCATACTGATTTAATTCTTTTTTTAACTTGCATCAAATGTGTCAATTATTTTTATATTTATTTGAATGTAACTACAATGTAATTTTTGTAGGGTTTCTTCTTAGGTGATTGCTTTCAAAAGTGCTGATTTTTTGGAGGCAATTTCACATTTTTTTGCGTTTCTTAGATTTCTTTAACTCTTCTTACACAGATAAAAATAAAAAATTATGGAGGCAAATTGTTACATAATGGATTAGAAAAGATACAATTCCTAAGGAGGTTGATGAAATTAAAATAATCCCTGGACTTTTTATCAGAGGATGTTTCTGGTATATGGAAGCAGAAATATATTCTGGAGGTAACTAAATAGATGAACACTCTCCATGATCAAAATGCAGAGAAAGACATGAAGAACAGAGTTTTTGACCTAAAACAGTATACAAGGATAAAGGATAAAGAATGTTATTATCAATGCTTTAGCTTGGAAAAAGGGTTGGTAATCTTCTTAATGTCATACAAATATGCAACAGAAGCAATATATAGATCAATCATTTTAAAACAAAGCCAGTTTCAAGTCAAATTTATATGAGCCACATTCAAATGGCTCCACTTTTCTTAACTACAAGCATCATGGTGTTAACAGTGAAATAAAAATAACATCAAATAAAACATCTTGAAAAGCATGAAAAACATTTTAATAAGCCCAATATGGTCTCCTATTGTGAATTTTTCTTTTTCTCAGTACTAGGCCTGACCTCAGCAGGCCAAGGCATCTTTAGCCATATTATTTTACCTAGTGCCAATCTTCCCCCTTACACAGGTCCAGAACTGTAACTGGGATAAGCACAAAAACGAAAAAAAAAAAAAAAAAGTCCTAGTTATGGGGAGGTTTAAATGGGGCAAGTGGTGCCCATGCCTTCCTCTGTGGCAAAAGTACTCACTTTCCATACTTGAGTAAAAGTACAGATACTTGTGTTAAAAAATACTCTGGTAAAAGTGGAAGTACTGATTAAACTTCTTTACTCAAGTAAAAGTAACAAAGTACAGGCTTGTAAATTTACTTAAAGTATAAAAGTAAAAGTAGAAACCATTTTATTAATGCCGTTGCCTACATTTTAAATGGATGTCTGCCAATAGGACTAGATCTCCGTTGTGTTCATTTTCAATCATCTCGTCGTCCATGCTACTATGCTAACGCCACCACCACCAAGCTGCAATGATTTGCCGCCAATGAATACCGCCGAATCTGTCGATTCATCTTGTAGTGGTGCGTCAAATGCAACGCAGATTCCCATTCCAATTAGATTGAATTTGATATTGATGACGTGAAAAATAATAACGGTAACTCCATTGAAATGATTTAAAACTAAAGTAACGAGCCAATTTTTTAAAATGTAAGGAGTAGAAAGTACAGATATTTGTGTAAAAATGTAAGGAGTAGAAGTAAAAAGTCACCATAAAAATAAGTAGTAAAGTAAAGTAAAAATATCAGAAAAATCTACTTGAGTACATTAACGAAGTATTTGTACTTTGTTACTTCCCATCTCTGGTGGCCATCCTGGGTGATCCCATGTAAGCATAATTAACAAAGAGTACCTCCTCTAAACCAGAAAACTAGCCAACGCATGGTCAAGTGATTCATGAAGCGTTCAATAGTTTCAAACATTTCAGCACTGTCATTCAGTTTGAGTGGCTTCTGATGGAGCAGAATGCATAACAAAAACAACAACAATTTGCAGACATCTGTATGACAATAGTTCAATAAGTAATTAATGAAATCGTTGAACAACTGATTCATATCTGTAACCTCTCTTTCCAAATGGGTACATTTCCAAGCAAAATAAAAGCTGCAAAAATCACAATGGTATATAAAACTGGACATTGAAACCTATTTAGAAGTTATAGACCCATTGCTCTACCTTTACAGTTTTCAAATATTTTAGAAAAAACTTTAATTTGCAGACTGGAAAATTCTATTGATAAACTCAAATTACTTTCTGCAAGTCAACATCAATTTAGATTGCAGAAATCCAGAGCTTTGGCAGTCCTGGACTTATTGGAGGAAATGACCAGCCCTATGGATTAAAATAAGTTTTTCAATTGGTGTGTTTTTTTTTATTTTATTTAAAAAAGGAATTTGAAAAAAATGATAAAAAATATATTAATCAAAAAATTAAAGCATTATGGTGTTGTGGAGACAATGAAGAGCTATTAAAATAGGCAGAATTTTGTGAAAATTGGTAATTATCAATCTTTGTACTTAGACTTTGCTTGTAGTGTCTCCCAGGGGTCAGTATCAAGACGGATCCTTTTAATTCTCCACATGAAGTACATTTTTATGGTTTCAAAAGCATTCACGTTTGTTTTATTTTCTATAGATGATATCAATATTTTTGGTACAGGTGATTATCGCACCTGTATCGCACCCATTATTGCTTATCGCACCAGAATAAAGTTAATTAAAACTGATTTGACAAAAAAAAAATGTCCTTGAATCTAGAAAATAATAAATTTAGTTTATTTTTAAATTTTTACTAAAATATAGATGTGAAACTAAGAAAAGATCAGCTAGAGGCGAATGGAGTAAATTAAATATGTTATCTATGTCATTTTCTAGGTGTGATTATTGATTGCAAGATCTGATGAAAGCCATGCATTAAATATGTTTAGACTAAATTATCTAGAAGTGTTGCAATTTGTAGTAAGGGAAAACTTTTCTGAAACCCATACACCAGGTATGGTAAATTCAGTGTAGAAGTGCAGGGTAACACCTACAGAACCTCACTCAAACCGCTATGCATGCTGCAGATATGAGTCATCAAGATAATTCGTAAGGCTGTCTATCAAGACCACACTAATCTATTATTCATTCAGTACTGATTGCCTAAATTCTGCGGTTCGTCAGAATTTCAGACCTCACAATTAATGTACTGTATAAAGCTAAAAATAAACAGCTGCCAGGCAACATACAAAAACACTTCTGCTGAAAGAGGGACGTATACAGTAGTTACAGGGTTAATCTATATTTCTAAATATTACATTCTGACAAAAAAAAAATCCCTATCCATGTAGGACTAAAACCAGTCCAGTTATGTGCAAGAAATGCTGACTCAGTGTTCCAGGTGCTCTAATAATGTTTGGTGATCAACAGTCTGCACTAATGTCTAGTAATACTAGCACTGTGGTTTCTTCCATATTCTGCATTTATACAGATGTTATTGAACACCTTGATAAGGGTAGCCTTTACATCGTGATGGGCATATTAGCCTGTTTGGAAGGCATTGAAGCTGCTAATTATTGCTAGGAAGGTGTTTAGATGTTGAAATACAGGTTTTTGTATAATCTTACTTATGAAGGGGAGGTTTGAGATAGGCATGTAGTTCTGCAGCAGCAGCTTGTTCAAGTTGCTCTTTTTCACAAGGAGTTTGATAATTGCTATTTTTAAGGCCTGTGAGGAAGACTGAGAAAGGGGATGTGTTTATTATTTGAGTTTAATCAGATGTGATGGCAGGCAAAGCGCAAGGAAAGCGGTGTGGATAACCTCCAGAAGGCATGAGGAGACTCTTGGGGCCGGATTTATCAAAGGTTTGCGTGTATTAAAACGTGAGCTATTTCACTGCGCACGCTAAAAAATGTACAAACTGATCTATCAACAGCGTGCTAAAAGCATTTGATCTTTAAAACGTGCTAAATAGCGCCTGTGATCCATTTAGTACTTTTTCTGCAATGAATATGCAATATGGGGCGTTTACACGCTAAAGTGCGTCTTGTGGGAGGAGAACATGTAAATATATTAATTTAGCACTCGCAAAGTGATTTATCAAACTTGAACGCAATTTTGCTAACGGTATCTGACTCTATATTTAACACGTTTCAAAAGAAGGTGCAAATGGTCTGTATGCGTAATTGCGCACACATGGCAGCGGTTATTGTCGCAAGAAGGAGACATGGAAATGAAGCAAGGAGACGCAGAGAACGCATTTTTTCACTCCGTGTGAATATTTTTGGAATGAACGAGGAAACGATCATCAAAACATATCGTTTATCCAGCATTGCCATTTTGGAGCTGTTGGGGGAACTCCGAATGGATTTGGAGCCAGCCACAAGGAGGACCCACGCAATACCAGATACCACAAAACTCCTTGCAACATTGCACTTTTTTGCATCTGGGTCATTCCAGCGTACGGTTGCAGCGTGAGCTGGGATCTCCTAATCTCGTTTTTTCAGAAGTGCTGTCCGACGGGGTCGGGGTTCTCCCCCTGCGCCTGTGGAGCAACGTGCCAAATGCTGCGGGGATCTCATCCACAGTCACAGGCCAATACAAAACACCTGTTTTTTTTTTTGTTTTTTTTTTTTACTGCAGCACATACCACCTTAGGGAATAAAGGTTGCCAATTTATAAATAAATATATATATATATATATATATATATATATATATATATATATATATATATATATACTTATTTATTTTTTTTTGTTGGGGGTCACTGTAAGATTTAAATTTCTTAATGCACTAGTTTGTACAGACTACAAACTACTTTGCCGCAAACCACAAAACGCGCAAAACCATCATTTAAATAGGGCGTCTCCAACAGTTTTGCACCTTCCACCAGTTACGCAATCGCTCTTGTTAAATCACCCGCAAACCATGGTTCAGCCCCTCGCGCAAAATTCCACTTTGCGAGCGCAAATTACTGCACGCAAAATTGGATCTTGATAAATCCGGCCCTTGGTGTACTATTTAAATTTTTGTAGTTTATTTTTGTCAAATGTGGATTATTTTTTAAGATTAGTCCTAGCCGGAGACAACTTTGGTACTGGACTTGATATGGATGTACTTCTGTGTTTTTTCTGTGAAGAAATTAGAAAATTAATTGCAGTCCCTGGTAGAGTCCAGTTCAGTTTCTACAGTCACAGAAAGGCTATTAACCTGTCCACCGAGAAAGTTACTAATGATCTCAGAGAGAAAAAGAGTCTCTCCTTATAGATGTTATAGTGATGGGAAGATAGACGGCATTAACTAATGAAACACTGAAAAGGAATATTGTTCTATATTTCCAAACACAAAAAAAAGGGATTTTAGTCTCTTGAGCCTAACAGCAGCTTTGTTACAACTTACAGCCACAACTACATCAAGAGCTGGTTCCACAAAGTCCTCTCATCTGGATGGAATACACATTCATTGAAGACTTTTCTGATTCATGCTCATTTATATATTTTAACGACAAGGATCTTTTTCATGTTGTACACACTATTGTGCACATTCAAATGAAATGTGTGAATGACCTCTACTCTGTTTTTTTTTCCAACAGAGGTATGTCACGCTCTGAACGTGACAGTCACCCCTAGGCCTTTGGTCTTAGTCGCAGAGAGAGACAATCTGACTTTGTCTTGTCAAGTGTCGGACCGCAAGTGGAATAGCAGTGTCCTCATTATTCGCTGGTTCTTCTCTCCTTTGACTTCTCCAACTCTGCAGCCGCCTCCTCTTCCAACCACTTGTCCCACTGTCCTCTTACCCTCCCAGTTTCTGATTGTGAGGAGAGGCATAAAGAAAATAAACCAGTATGGAAACTACAGCCGTCGCTTCCCCAAGCAGAAATTTCGTTTCATTGACGATGTGGCAGGAAAAGTGTACCAGTTACTCATCGCCAACGTCACAGGAATGGATCAGGGCTTTTATAGCTGTAGAGTTCAGGAGATCCGAAAATACAGGAACACGTGGAGAACCTCCTCCAATGGCACCAGCACCACACAGCTATCAGGTAACTGAACTCTGATGTATTTTTTCCTCTCACTTAAACTTTGTTTGAGAAAAGACCAAAAGAAGGGTGCTGACTATAAGAATAGAATAGAATAGAATAGAATAGAATAGAATAGAATAGAATAGAATAGAATAGAATAATCAAGGATTTTAATGCTTTTTGTAAATAATGATATTTCATATATTTTAAAGGCAAGCGAGAAAATGCTGATGTGATAACTGCAATTTCCTCCTCCTAAACGGGCTCTCTAACTCTCTCACATTTTGCTGGAAACATCCCGCCTTACATATTTAGATCTGATCTCCTCTAGCAATATGAAAATCCTAAAAAAAAAAGGTATCTTCCATTTAAGCTACAAATTTAGAGGTATATGGCTAATTGAGTATTTCAAAGATATATGGGCATTGCATTTTATGATGTCTCTTCCTCTGTTTATTTAAAAGGGGTTTCCTGACTCTTTGTCTCATGTTAGATGAAGCCAAGTCCTCTAATTGGCTGATTATACTTGTCAGCAGATTTAGCTATTTGCTTTCGTTTAAATGTAAAAAGGAAATAATTTGGGTCTTTAACTGAAACCCAGGAAACCTTGAAATAAGTTAGGTGTCATTATTGGTAGAGAGATATTCATTTCAATTCAGTTCAGTTTATTTATATAGCGCCAATTCACAACACTTGTCATCTCAAGGCACTTTACAGTTCACCAGATCATCCAGTCAAATTGATTCACATTCCAGATATGTGTTGATAAGCTTTTCTTTGTTATTTTAGATTGTTTTAAATAATTTAAAGAATCACAATTTAATTCATCCATCGATGTTGAGGTTAATTAAGAAAAGTATGAAAATAGAGGATAAGTGTCCTGGAACTTTGAGAGTCATATGTCACATTGTCATATGCAGCCCGTTATGTGTTACCGGTAGTTTCCTTATCTTAAGCTCTGTTAAAGTTCTCCCTAACTATGTAAGAAAAATACATGTCACATTGGGATTTTACACCACTATGCACAACAAAATTTGATAAAATCCCTAATGGCCATTATTACTATTAACCTGTAACCAAAAATACCCCAAAGTTCAGCTTTAGTTCAAATAGCATGGCAAAAGATTCCTCATTCCTACATATTATAATAGTAAAAGTGCCCAGCACATCTGGCCTTTCTGCTCAAAACAGCTCTTTAACAAGCCGTGAAAAGCAAAGGGGGATTTCTGCGGTAATTATTCTAAAAATGCATTTCAAGGAAAATACTGTAACCACAAAATTCACTCTAAGCTTTATTTATACTGCTGAAAGTTATGATTCTTACATTATTAAAAATATAAAATCCATGTTTTTATCTAAAGAGCAGGAAATACAACCAAATTGTTTTTTGTTTGTTTTTTATGTAGAAGTATGAGGGATTAGGTGTACCTATAGTGTATGTCTGAGTGTGACCCCAGTCCTCTGGCATTTCCATCCCATAACAATGATCTCACACAGCCAACAAAATCACTTTGTATGAACACGTGGGGAAAAAAGGTAGAGGTGCTGAGCAGACAGTGTTCTTCAACTCTGTAACAAATTACGTCAGCACTTGGGGTTTACTGTTCTTTCATTCAAGTCACCAGTCTCAGAGAAACATTCCTGGAGAATTAAGTTTCAGCTGATCTAGTGAAGTTCAAGTCTCCTACAAGACTCAATGAAAAACACTGAGGAAATCAAATTATAAGATTCTCTGAAGAACTTACAGGAATTACTTTAAAAAGGGGTAGTTCAATAGATTTAAACTAAGATGATCTTTAGATAGTATTTATATGCAGAACATTTATTGAATTTCGTGGCTAATTGAGATGCTGTTTTCTCCCTGTAAGTCAAGTTTTTCACTAAACCCACACAATATACAGCCTTTTCTGAAAGGTTAGCTTTTAAAAGCTTTAATCCAGTTGGTGAGCTTAACTATATGGTTTGTACTGCAAGAAAACTACATCTTTATCACATCTGTGTTGGTAAACGTGACCCATTTATACTGTCATGCAGTTCCTGGCAACAGTTCTCATAGGGCCGGATTTATCAAGATCCAATTTTGCGTGCAGTAATTTGCGCTCGCAAACTGGAATTTTGCGCGAAGGGCTGAACCATGGTTTTCGGGTGATTTAACAAGAGTGATTGCGTAACTGGTGGAAGGTGCAAAACTGTTGGAGACGCCCTATTTAAATGATGGTTTTGCGCGTTTTGTGGTTTGCGGCAAAGTAGTTTGTAGTCTGTACAAACTACTAGTGCATTAAGAAATTTAAATCTTACAGTGACCCCCCCCCAAAAAAAAAAAAAAAAAAAAAAAAAAAAAAAAATATATATATATATATATATATATATATATATATATATACACTATATTGCCAAAAGTATTTGCTCACCTGCCTTGACTCACATATGAGCTTAAGTGACATCCCGTTCCTAATCCATAGGGTTCAATATGACGTCGGTCCACCCTTTGCAGCTAGAACAGCTTCAACTCTTCTGGGAAGGCTGTCCACAAGGTTTAGGAGTGTGTTTATGGGAATTTTTGACCATTCTTCCAGAAGCGCATTTGTGAGGTCGCACACTGATGTTGGACGAGAAGGCCTGGCTCTCAGTCTCCGCTCTAATTCATCCCAAAGGTGTTCTATCGGGTTGAGGTCAGGACTCTGTGCAGGCCAGTCAAGTTCATCCACACCAGACTATGTCATCCATGTCTTTATGGACCTTGCTTTGTGCACTGGTGCACAGTCATGTTGGAAGAGGAAGGGGCCAGCTCCAAACTGTTCCCACAAAGTTGGGAGCATGGAATTGTCCAAAATGTCTTGGTATGCTGAAGCATTCAGAGTTCCTTTCACTGGAACTAAGGGGCCAAGCCCAGCTCCTGAAAAACAACCCCACACCATAATCCCCCCTCCACCAAACTTTACACTTGGCACAATGCAGTCAGACAAGTACCGTTCTCCTGGCAACCGCCAAACCCAGACCCGTCCATCAGATTGCCAGATGGAGAAGCGCGATTCGTCACTCCAGAGAACGCGTCTCCACTGCTCTAGAGTCCAGTGGCGGCGTGCTTTACACCACCGCATCCGACGCTTTGCATTGCACTTGGTGATGTATGGCTTGGATGCAGCTGCTCGACCATGGAAACCCATTCCATGAAGCTCTCTGCGCACTGTTCTTGAGCTAATCTGAAGGCCACATGAAGTTTGGAGGTCTGTAGTGATTGACTCTGCAGAAAGTTGGCGACCTCTTCGCACTATGCGCGTCAGCATCCGCTGACCCCGCTCCGTCAGTTTACGTGGCCTACCACTTCGTGGCTGAGTTGCTGTCGTTCCCAAACACTTCCATTTTCTTATAATACAGCTGACAGTTGACTGTGGAATATTTAGGAGCGAGGAAATTTCACGACTGGATTTGTTGCACAGGTGGCATCCTATCACAGTTCCACGCTGGAATTCACTGAGCTCCTGAGAGCGACCCATTCTTTCACAAATGTTTGTAAAAAACAGTCTGCATGCCTAGGTGCTTGAATTTATACACCTGTGGCCATGGAAGTGATTGGAACACCTGATTCCAATAATTTGGATGGGTGAGCAAATACTTTTGGCAATATAGTGTATATATATATAGATATATATATATATATATATATATATATATATATATATATATATATATATATAAAAACAACAAAAAAAAAACAGGTGTTTTGTATTGGCCTGTGACTGTGGATGAGATCCCCGCAGCATTTGGCACGTTGCTCCAGAGGCGCAGGGGGAGAACCCCGACCCCGTCGGACAGCACTTCTGAAAAAACGAGATAGGGAGATCCCAGCTCTCGCTGCAACCGTACGCTGGAATGACCCAAATGCAAAAAGTGCAATGTTGCAAGGAATTTTGTGATATCTGGTATTGCGTGGGTCCTCCTTGCGGCTGGCTCCAAATCCATTCGGAGTTCCCCAACAGCTCCAAAATGGCAATGCTGGATAAACGATATGTTTTGATGATCGTTTCCTCGTTCATTCCAAAAATATTTACACGGAGTGAAACAATGTGTGCTCTGCGTCTCCTTGCTTCATTTCGATGTCTCCTTCTTGCGACAATAACCGCTGCCATGTGTGCGCAATTACGCATACAGACCATTTGCACCTTCTTTTGAAACGTGTTAAATATAGAGTCAGATAGCGTTAGCAAAATTGCTTTCAGGTTTGATAAATCTCTTTGCGAGTGCTAAATTAATATATTTACATGTTCTCCTCCCACAAGACGCACTTTTGCGTGTAAACGCCCCATATTGCATATTCATTGCAGAAAAAGTACTAAATGGATAAGAGGCGCTATTTAGCATGTTTAAAAGATCAAATCCTTTTAGCACGCTGTTGATAGATCAGTTTGTACATTTTTTAGCGTGCGCAGTGAAATAGCTCACGTTTTTATACACGCAAACCTTTGATAGATCCGGCCCATAGTGTTTAAACTTTTTCACATTTTTACCTACAGCGACTAACCTATTGTTTTAATCTTTTAATAGTTTTTTTTCCCCTGATGGATTAACACACTTTTTTTGCTTAACTGTAAAAGTTAAAAGGATTTATATCTGGTTTTGATTTATTTTGACAAAAAACACATTTCATGAAGTGTGGCAGGGAAAATACCTATGGGGTTTGTGGAACCACCGACTAATGCAGTGATAGCTGAAAGCCCTTTTAAAGTATGTCTATCAGTTTTGATCAAGTGATATTTATGCCATTTCTTCTTCTAAGAATAGTTTAGGCTGTCAGATCGGATAATGTCTGTGAAAGGATGTTTTTTTTTAAAGCCTTGGCTCTATTTGTGGAATTATGTTTTGACTTTGACTATTAGGGTTGTTGTCCTGAAAACAAGTGAACCAGTAGGAAGTTGTATAGTCTTTAGCAGCTTTTCTTCCAGAACAGCCCTTTATTTAGCTCTATGCGTTTTCCCCATTGCTTTGACCAGCTTAGTTTCCCTGCTGAAGAGCAGAATCCCCAGCCGGATGCTCTTAACGCATTTCACTGTCAGTATGGTGTGTTGAAGATGATGTGCAGTGTTAGATTTGCAAAAGACAAAGGATATTGCTTTTCTGTGTATGCCAGTTGCCACTTTAAACCTGGGTAATTTTAGAGGTCCTTAATAATAGGATGAGTCTTGTAGAGTGCAAGATCAGTTTACCAACCTGAGCTGTGGGTATCTCAGAATAAGGTTACCAGATTTCTGAAATCCAATTTGGGGACATTTCCAGCTCACAGATGAAAAGAAATACATATAATACATATAGAAAACGGGCAAAAGGATACTTTTACCTATTTATTAATATTTAAATAACAAAAATTGAAGTGTAAAATAATTTTCTGTCTAGCTTCTTCATGCTCTGTGTTTTACTCTTCTAAGTAGATTTTCCCCCTTCTCTTAAACTGCTCTTTCTGTCAGTGTCCCTATTTTCCTCCACTCTCATTCAGTCTCCTTCCTCTCCTCTCCTATCAATTGATATATCAAATAATACAATCAAAATCCCTTCCAAACACATATAATCTCATCATACATATTATGATTATTATTATTGTTGTTATTATCTCATCTGATTAAATACTAAAAAGGCCGATGTCACCACAATATTTGGAGCTAAAAGTAAAAATAGCCTAATAAATGAACATTAAACGGGTGGTTATCTCCTCCTCCATCATTCTCAGATCGTGCAGATCTTGTCTCATTCAGTTTCCCTGTTACTGTCTCTTATCTTTTATAATGAGGAACTTTCATATATCCAAACTGAGTGGTAGAAAAGTAGACCTAAGGCTAGAAGTCTTTGCTCATAAATCACAACCATTAAACAGCAAAACAGTTTATAACTCTACTTACAATAATTATTTAAAAAAATAATCTAACAACCCACTCATTGTTCACGTTCCATGTAGCGGAGATCAGCAATGACTGTCCTTCCAGATCTCCTAAATATGACATATTATCTCACAATTATGAGATAAGATCTCATAATATAGAGATCAGGATCTCATAATTATGAGATAAAGATATTGTAATTACGAGAAAAGATCTCGTAATTACGAGATAATATCTCGTAATTATGAGATAATGATCTCATAATTATGAGATAAGCTGTCAGAATTTTTTTTTTTGGTGAATGCAATATGCTTCCGTACTAAAGATCATCGATCAGTTCTAAAATCATCTCTAGGCCAACCCTTGTTGATCCCTGGAGAATCACAGTACCAGCATTGTACCTTACAAGGATTTTTCGATCATTCTGTTATACTTTATCTGAGTCTATTTACTCATGCAAGCTGCAGCCAAAGTTCTGTCTTACTTTTGTTGATTAGCTTGGTTTATGTTACATTTCCGGTCCTCCTCTTTAGTTAAACAAAAAAAAAATCAAATCCCTATTTTTTAGTAGCCTGGAACCATGAACCAAACATTTATCACAATGATCATTCCGATTCAAATCCAATGAACGAATTAACACACCATAACACTGGGCAGCTGCGTCCGGATGTGATAATTAACTTTCTCGTCTTTTTTAAAAGTGGTGCGCACTGCTCCTCATCTATACGCTAACAGCTGCCAACTAGCTAGTTAACAGCTGTTTCTGCATGGTCACTCTCTTTCTACGATAATAACAGTCTACACACTACATTTTCCTCCTCATTTTTAAAACACTAAAATCGGGGACATTTGCAGGGACAGCTTTAGCTGGGGACAGGTGGTCCAAAACGGAGAAAATCCCCAGAAATCGGGGATGTGTGGTCACCGTACTCCAGAATTAAACATGGGTCTAATGGCTGTTCATCTGATAAATTCTCTTCACACCAACCAATCATTAAGCAGATAGCCACCTGGTTTGCAGCAGTGCCACACTGTTGAAAAGTTCAACAAATATGAACCCTTTTGTCAGGGTTTACTTTCTGCTTGCTTTAAAGGAGAAAAGCATAAACTTTCAGGTCCAGCAGAGTTGTCTGACAACGCCCTGCCCTATATTCAGGGCACACGAAGGAAGCCACGGAACCTCAGGCATCTCAGGGATGCATTGGCCACAGAGCCAGGGAACACAAGAGCTGACATTATAAAGATAAAAAATGGTGGTGGTGGGGGGGGGGGGGGGGGGGGGGGGGGTCTACAAGTCAGGGAACCCCTCAGCCTGCAGTTTCCAACCTTTACTTAACACTTGAATTGATTAATTATTCATATTCCACAGATTCTGCCAAAGGAGACGGTGGTTTGCTTTCTTTCACATCTCTTCATCCCAAGTCAAATCATTGACTCTCAATGATTGTCTCTCAGCTACAGCAGATTTTCACACCACGGGGTTACTGGGTATTTTCCACATCTTTAGTTTTCCTTTGTGGTTGACTGCAGATGAGCACACAACTGTAACCTGTTCATCCAGGGCTGTATATGTATATATATTTAGCATAAATCTGGCATAATTTCATGAACCGTCAGTATTTTGCAGCCACATCTGCATAGCATATGGAGGTATAACAGCTTGCATAGTCAACCTGTTGACCTCAGACTGTTTCTCTCAGCTTGCTCTGTTTGTGGTAAAACAACAAAGCAAGTGTTCTCAGATCTGGGATTTGTTTTTATTAGTCTATATATTAACTGTTCAGCTTGAAAAGAGACACTCACTGTTTTAGGTGCTGTTCTTGTAGCTCAGTTTGTCTGGAGATATCTATTTATTGAGGACAATAAAAATATCTATTATTTCCTCTTTTAACACAGTAGTATCTCAAACTATAAAATGCAGAAAAATCCAACCTTTAATCAATAACTGTTAATTTAATGGGTGAACATTTGGCAGATATGACAGGGTTTTGTCCTCCAGCATTTCACCATGACTGAAAATACACAATATATTTTCTCTTGCTCATCAAGGGTCCTAAATTGTACATTTCTCTCTTTTGCTCAGCTTTCAGGTTTTCTACTTGGTGTAGGTTGGGAAACTGCAATGACCATAGAAGATGGTTGATTTTATGGTCATGAACCACTCTGCTTTAACTTGGTTTTATGTTTTTGATCAAAATGCAATAGAAAGATCCAGATCCACCTTCAGACAAAGACCATCAGGCTTATATTATGAGTTCAACATACTCTTTATATTCATCCTTTAAAAAAAAAGAGCTCAGTTTTAGTCTAATGTAACTAAAGCACCTGATTTTTATTTGGAGTAACTGGTAGTGTTTAGCAAAATGGATAAATTGTATTGGTAGAATAGATAAAGATCTCTCCTATTCATGGAGAGCTGGGGTTCCCTAGATGATGCTCTTTGTTGTAGTTCTCAAAAATCTTTGAAATCGTACTCACTGTTTGTTTGGAAAGATAAACACATCTCCCTGTCTTGCCTTGGTTGTAAACACTGCACTCAGACAGATATGGACAAGTTCAGGCCAGATGCTATTATTTTATAAAAGTTTTCTGAATCATGAAGATCAGGTCATCACTTCCTTATCGGTATGTGCTCTTGACGTACCCATTCTGAAGAGTTCTATGTAACTAAACAAAACCATCAATTTCACAAAAGTTAGCAAAATCTTTACTAATTGCAAACTTTTTCTCTACCAACCCAGGATCTAAGGAACTAAAATTCTCATAAATTTTATTACAAGGAGATTGACCATTCATCCATCCATCCGTCCGTCCATCCATCCATCCATCCATTCTTTTTTTTTCTTAACAGTGTCCTGTCTGGCAATGTGGCAATAAGAATAATTGTCTTGATGCCAAAAACAGCCCAACAGATTTTACTTTCACAAGTGTGGCAGTATGGCAATTGCCATATTGCTCCAATTGTTTCATGCATATAAATTGCTTTATTATAATTATGCAGGGAGTTTTACAGTTTATATGGACACTGCAATGTAAATAGAGCAGAAAAACAGAAGAAGAAAAAAGGAAAAAAAGAAAAAGATGAAAGAAAGAGGAGATAGAAAGGAGACAATCCATCCATTCTTTCATTCATCTATCTATCCATCCATCCTTTCATCCATCCGTACCTTCGTCTGTCCATCCATCCATCCTTTCATCCATCCTTTCATCCATCCATCCATTCATCCATCAATCCAATTGTCCATTTGTCTGTCCGTCCATCCGTCCATCCATCCATCCATCCATCCATCCATCCATCCATCCATCCATCCATCCATCCATCCATCCATCTTAACATTTTGTAAAATTAAGATGGATTGTAAGCTGTTGTGAAGGCCACTCTAGGTTATGGAAAGGATTTTTTTTTGCAGTTTTTAGGTTTAATCATTTAAAAAAAATCTAATTTATCATGCAAATTAAAATATTTTAGGAGGTTTTTTGTTAATCATGGCTTTTTATCACTGATGTTTGCACAGAACTCATTTTTGCAAGTTCAACTCTTCTATTGTACCCGATGGGAAATTTAGTTTGTAAACAGCTCCTTAGGAAGGAACAGCACAGCATTAAAGAACCCACTCACATCATTCATCACAGAGTTCCTGAAACAATATGTGACTTTACATTAAAAACACAGGTACGCTTTTGGACAGGGAACTAAGCAGTTTTTTTATTTCAAATTAGGTTTAATGTGACTTGAATTCACTGAAGTTTAATTTGATACATTTTCTACTTGTTTATATTTATCAACATATATCTATGAATCCCCATGCAGAATAAAGAGACATCTTCGCATTTTTATCCAAGCACAGTTGCTCTGATGTTTGTGGGTATCCCCACTGTGGGTCTGGCTGATGCCTGAGCAGTCACAGCAGTGGTTTGGTTATTTCCAGAAACCACTAAGGTTGCTTGCTTCATTGGGTCAGCACCCACAGAGATCAGCAATTTATAAAGGCAGACATGGAAATTTTATATTCTTTATGTGCTTTTTTTGCTGACTTAATGCATCATTTTTTCCTACAGTGCACTTTAGTCCTGAGGATGGCAGCAGTGAGGGGCTGTGGAGCTTATTTGCAGGTATTGCCTTAATATCTGTTTTTTTTTCTTTATATCTTTAATCATGCATTGCTGACATGTCACTTTTGTCTCTGAATTAGATGTGTATATGTGTGCTGTGTTGATCTGCTCACTGGGCCTGCTGTCCATCTTCTTGTTCTCCCTCTTCTTAACTGGCCAGTACTTCTACAGGCGACGCAGGCTCAAAGGTTCACCCCCACTTTTTTCTGTGCACTACCGTCAATTTGAAATTTTACTGTCACCTATAGTTGTTGTAACAACTATTAACAGAGACCAATGTTCTTCTGATTTTTCCGCAGCCAGTTATCTTTTCGTCAAATGTCCAGAAAGCAGGTAATACGAGTGTTTATTAAAACATTTAGAAAACATTTTATTAACAGTGGTAAACAAAACAAAAAATTACATTGCAAACCTTGCCCAAGAGGAAAAAATAGCATCAGGAAATGTGACCTCTTGGTTTTACAGATTAATTTTCCAGTACTGCTCCATGACATCAGGAAGACCTGCAATTTCAATAGAGTTTTAAATAATGTGATGACTTGTGTTTCCTTCATCAGAATATCCTTGCAAAATGTTGGTGAAGATTCTCAGTTATTCAGGTCATAGTCATTCCAAAGAAGTTAAAAACAATCCACTGGACTTTGTTTCCAAGTTTGCAGATGTTTCGCTTCCTATCAAGGAACCTTTTTCAATTCATAATCGAAACCCCTACTTAGAAAGAACATAGAGATATTTGTTTTTAATCTTCAGTACACTTCAACTATGAGAGAGAAAAAAAATCCAGAAAATCAAACTGTTGTATTTACAAATAATGTAATTGTTAATTATAGTGGGAAATATTTAGTCATAAATGTTCTATAAGTCTCCACCAGTTTTGCTCACACTGTAGTTGGTGTTTGGACCCATTCCTCTATGACCACCTCTAGAGCAGTGATGATTTGATGCTGTCGCTAGGCAACGTAGACTTTTATTTGCCTCCACAAATTTTCTATGGGGTTGTCTGAAGACTGGCTCGACCACTCTAAGATGTTGAAATGCTTTCTACAGAGCCACTCCGTCATTGTCTGAGTGTTTGGGATCATCTTCATACTGAAAGAACCAGCCACATTGCATCTTCACTGCTCTCACTGATGAAAGGAGGTTTGGCTTAAAATTTCACAATATATCGCCCAATTCCTGATTCCCTTAACGCAGATCAGGTGGCCCATCTCTTTTGTGGGAAACCAGCCCTAAAGAGGATGTTTCTACCTCTATGCCTCATTGTGTTCTTGGGACGAAACTCAGCATTCCTCATCCTCCAAAAAGCACAAGCAAAGTTTGTGCCAAAAAGTTCTATCTTGCTTCCATCGGACTCCATGATATTCTCACAGTCCAATTCTGGATCATCCATACTCTCTATTTTACACTACAATGTGATTTCTTCATTGTTTTATCTTAATTTTGTCTCTCATAGTTGAAGTATGGCTAAGATAACAATTATGGACCTCTCTCATCTTTCTAAGACATACTTCAACAATCAGTGACTGAATAATGCAGCTGTATTTATCTGATTGTATCATCATAAGTAGTAACCATTTTAGCTTTTTATACGTCAATGTAACACTTATGTTACTATAATATCTTCTCATCCTTCAAATGCAGTTAAATATTTTCAGCAATGATAGATGTCAGGAAAAAAACCCACATGTGGTTCTAAATTTGAATATATAAACATTTTTAACCTCTTAAAATTCACTTCAAGTCTGATCCCTGTTTGTGCCACTCTTTCTACAAATTATGACAGCATGACTTATGATTAAAAAAAGACACATTGCTTAAAAGAGCAGCATCCTTTTTGTAGTTCTATGTCATGTAATTTGCCATTAAATAAATCAGCATGTGCTCCGAGATGCCATGATGGAATAAATGAATAAAACAGGAGTTATGTAGAAGTCAGTGAATCAATGCAATCAGCGGGTTTTCCTTAGATAGAAAATGTTGAACCAATCTGGTTGCATGATCTAGTTAAATAGTCTCTGTAAAGTGCCTTGAGATGACATGTGTTGTGAAATGAAGCTGTATAACCAAACTGAATTGAAAATTAGATTAAAGATCTACAATTTTTGGTGTGAAAGATAATTTGATAATATATAAAGAAATATTTTTTTTCGTGTAATTCCTTCACAAATGATTTTTTTTATAATTAAGATGGTACAGCAGTGTAGATCTGGGTAGACAGAGACTTTATTAATCTAACCAGGGGCAATTTGTTTGAGCAGTACACGAGACAAACAAAACAAAGATATTAAAATAAATAAATTTATTAAAAATACATATATAATAACATAACAAATAAGATGATTAAACAAGAAAAAAATGTGAGATGGAGTTTTAGGACCACAATTATTAATATTAATAATCAATTAAAAAGATTAATTAATAATCTTTTTTTATGCGGGGGGAGGCTTTATCTTTAATACAATAAAATGACAAACCAAGAGCTCCAGGTAATCTTTGTTTGCATTGTGTACTCTTCCCAGCTCTGGAGAAACTGTTACTAGCTCCAGTAGTTGCTCCAGTTCTCCACCAAGAACACAGAGAAAAGAGACGAGACAGCAGGTTGACAGAGGACCACCAGTGACCCCACCTAGACTAGCTGAAGAGCCACTGTTTCAGCCACCAGTCAGAGGTATGAGGCTCTTTTCTTAGAAATGATCCCTATGCTTTCTGTGTTTAGCCTCTTTGCCCTGCAAATTCTGTTGAAAAGCTTAAATCTCAACAGCAATGGACATTAAAAATAAACACTTGCAGCCCTAAGTGTATTCCCACATTTACCCCATTGCAAAAATAAGTTTGGTTCAGTTTTCCCTACTTTCTTTCTAAAGGTTAGGTTTCAAGTCACATTCCAAACACAGCTGGAGGCATTATAAAGTCTCAAAGGGCAGCAAGAGGTCAAAGCGATATATTAGTGACACAGAGCAGCAGTTAAATCTAAGCTCAGACTAAAAGATCAAATGATTTTTTTTGTTTTTTTACTGCTCTAAACAACATCTCAGTTCAGTTTAACTCTGACTTCCAACACACATCAGCATTTGTGGATTAAAATCTCCAGGCTGTTGTTTTCACTAAATTAAGTTTCTCACATCTTTCTTGCAGCGCCTGTTGCAGCAAAGAGGCCGCAGAAGCCCAGAAGGTTGAAGACTCAGCCAAGGAGATCTGCCACTGTAAGTACTCAGTCTGCTGGATGCTTTTAACAAGCACCCACAATAAAAGTTGGAGAGTGCCTCATTACGCATGTTTTTACTCGTATTCTGTTCTTCAGGAGCAGAGTTATTATTGAAATCCATACAAGGGGGAATATGTTTGACGACTGCATGATTGTCTACCAGAGTTTATTGCCATCTCCTCATTCAGTTATGAGCTTGATAATTCTATTTAGTATTGCTTCAGAAACTCAATTATTTACTTAGATTGCTTCATTGGCTTTATATCTACAATAAAAGCCTCAAATGAGTATGTACAGGGGCAAACCAAGAACCACCCCTGTCTCTGCTAGTGTTGTCCTTAAGATGTTGTTTTGACAAGAAGCATTGGAGTTCCCATGCACATATGGATTAGATTAGTGCAATTAGGCAGATCTGAGGATGCTGAGTAGGACGCCTTTGGCAGCAAATGTTTTCAAGTCAACTAAATGTTCCCAAAGCTCCTGAAAACACAGTGAGGCCATAGTTTCTGTAGCTGAGGAGATATTTTGCAGGGAATGCTGAACAGACTGGTCCTCATTTGTGGTATCTGCCTGTTAAATTCCTCTCCCATTTTTCCTTTTCTCTTCAAAGTCTCGAGTATCACAAGAAGACAGCCTGACGTATGCAGAACTGGAGTTGGTCCGACCGAGGCAGGAACCACCAGCCTCCTCCGGCCCTGATGCCACACCCACCAGCCCTGACACTGTGTATGCTCAGATCCTCTTCCAGGAAGAAAAGCTATAGAGCTGGCAGCTCGGTTCCTCCTGGTGAGGGCAGAGGTCCAGTTTTCCACCCAACAAACGAACAAAGCAGCATCTAAAGGAACATATTTATGAACTATGAGTATGATATTTAGCTTCTTTAATGAAAGATGCCACATTTGTGGGTAAGTTTGTGGGTTTTTTTTTTTTTTTGTTGGGCCTATGTTTTTTTGATAGCATTGCTGGTCTGTGAGTCTGTTTTTTATAGCCCTGATTTAGTGTTAACTTCTATCTATAAACCTATGAGACTGTGCTCGAATAAACTATTGTCCGTGAGATTTTTATGGCACCATCTTGACACTTTAACAATCAGCTTTTGAAGTTAATTCCTTATTACTGTATTAAAACTCAGTATTAATAAATATGCTGTGGTCTGAGGTCTTTCATTTGTAGAAGTGTAGATTTAAATGTTAGTATAACCTGGAGCCAAAGTTAAACTGCCTTGCCTTTCTATGGTGAGACAGATATGCTGCAAAGATATATAAAACTCCAGCATCCATGTTCAATATACTTTTGTAGTGGCATATTAAGCTCCATCTCTTTATAAGCGTAGCAGTAAAATGTGCATAAAGCACTGGTCTCACAGTGGAAAGTCAGTAAGTGTCTGATAGTCAAAACAAGCAAAATAAAGAGGAAATTTAACTGGAACTAAAAACATCAAAACTACATCTCACTCCACATACACTAATGAGCTATAGAGTCCTGCTAATAGAGCAAAATTTTCATAAAAAATATTTCATTAGAATATTATGTGTATATATATATATATATATATATATATATATATATATATATATATATATATGCACTTTTTACTGCTTCGCTAATAAAAAGATGGAGCTTAATATGCCACTATAACAACAGTGTATTGAACATGGTCTCATAGTGAGACTGGATAATCCCTGCAGCCGGTCTTTCAGTAAGACAATTACTAAAAAAGCAGGATTGAGACAAAGGAGGCCGAGGAATCTAAATAAGAAACAACCACAGAAAAAAACATGCATGCTTGGTTCCCTTTTTTTCAACAAAAAAGCCCACAGAGGAAAATCCCCAACCCATGTTATTCTGCTGCAGCTAACCACTAGAGACAAAAAATAAAATAAAATGAATGGAGTTTTTTTTAAAGCAGATGTAGGACAATTTTATGTCTTCAGAAGTATCAAGAAAGACAATGCTCTTTTTATAAAAGTTCAGATCAATATTGAAGTAACCTAGGACCTGAAACCAGTGACATGAGGTTTTAAGATGGTGCAGTTGTAAGTACTATATAGCTTTTAAGGTGTAAAGGACAAATTTCAGTTTTTTGTCTGTATTTGTTTTGCGAGAGATCATTAATTTCAATGTAGAATTACAATTTGTACAATTTTGTACACCTCATCCCTGTAAAATATTCCTGGCTTATACAAATAAAGTGAATACTGAACATATCCTTCACTGCTAAAGAAATTTTATTTTTGCTGCAATAATATAATTATAATACTATTAGTTTTAGAGTTTTTAAAGACAGTCTCTGTTAAAATGTTGTCTTTCCCACAGCAGAAACTCTAGTGACATCTTCATTAAGTATACATCCAGAAACAGCTGCACCTGGATGGTAAACCTGGAGGCTAGACAGGAAGAAATCAAAAACTTCTCTTCATCAAAACATTTACATTTAATGCAAACACTACTTTATAAACCTTTAAATTTCTGTTTGCCTTTGTTGTCATTTACACAGAAGCCAATGATTATCTATACTGAAGCTGATGACTCTACATAGCCAATGGAGGACAGAGGCGATACAATAACCTGTGTGAAACCTATAGAAAATGGATCATGTAATGATTTGATCATGTCATTAGTGTTGTAATTAAATGAGAAAAGATGCATAAAAACCAATAGAATACACCTTTTTTAAAGTATGTTTGCTCTTTATGCTACAGCACTTTTAGACTGCACTTTTTCATGTTACTGTTAATTTGTGAATGTCCTCTTTCTACTGAGCTACTTTCTCTCTATCACAAACATGTTGCAATGGCCCTACATCTACAACCCCATCACTAATGAGAAATGGTATCAACATTTAGCTATTTGCTTGTGTGTATGAGTGTGTTTGGGAGTGAAGGTGGGTGAATTTAGCTCTACACTTTGCATTTTCTTTGTACTGAATTGTGCTATACAAATAAATTTGCCTTGCCTTACTGTAAACAAGCTTTCAGCATAACTAGGAAAGTGCTAAATCCCTTTCGTCCATTTCCCATTTTCAGCACAGTATGTGTTAAACAGTCATTTTACCAACTCCTACAACCATTTTCCGTAATGACGTCTTTGCAAAGAACTGGCTGACACAAATAAGATGCTGCCTTAAATGTTCAAGAAATAGAATTTACATACAAAATTATAATGTTTTGGAGATTGGAGTTATTTGACCAGTCCAAATTAATCTTGATCTAACCTATCTTCCTGTTAGGTTTATGTAGCTTTAAATAACTAGTGTCAACAAATAAATGTGGCAGGATTAGATACCCTTAATACACAGCACTTTGATAGTTAAAAATGTTTTATGGCAGTACTTGCAGTTCTTCATGATATGCATGCTCTGTTGAGTGACATTGCAAATATAACATTGTGTAGTATAACATGCAGCCCTAGTTTTCTGCCTTATATTTAGACCCAAAGTGCTGACATACAGGGAGACAGCAACTTAAAGAGATGTGAGTGCAACTACTAGCCCTACTCTAAAAAACAGAAAATATTATGAATCTGGCAACCTTGTTATCAGGCAAATATATAATAATAAAAAGAAAAATAATAAATCACCCTCTGCTGTTTTTTTTAGTTAATTATTTCATTTATATTTTTAAGTGGATCTGACATTTTAAATCCAGAAAGCACTTAATACAGAGAAGGTGGAGGGTGTGGGCCAGTTTGTGAAGGTCACCATGAAAAATGGGATGAAGGTGGAGGTGTCTGCAGAAAGAGAATGATGCACATCTACACCACTCCTCTAGCAAGTGAGAGGGACCCTCATCCCCCACAGTTCATACTCACTGACTGGGTTGAACCCACTAATGACTACATTTATTCAAATTAGACTAATTGTAATCATGGTTAATAATTAGCTTTACAGTGCATTATAATTGGGTTAGGCTACAAGATGGTTCTGCCTAGGTGCAATAATTTATTTGATTTAATTATTCTGAGGAACCCAATGGTCTGACATCTCATATCATAAAACCAGTGGTGTAGAGAGAATGGAGATGGCTGTTGTCTTTAGAGAAGGTCAATGCCCGCTCTCTGGGAAAATTATGAGGATTATTTTCTACTCTATTAAGCCACTCCACTTAGCACAATTAGCCACACACAGAAAGGTTAAAGAGAGGGACCCCGTCCTCTATGATAAAGAGGAGCGCTTCATTTGCTTGAGAGTCACAACAACAGAAATAACACAAGCAAGACTCCAGACTCTGTAAGAGTTACCTGATTATTAAAATGTAGATGTGCCCAGATGATTGGCAATCATCAAGAAAGTATAACTTCTATACCAACGGTTTGGCATAAGAAAGAAGAAATTCCCTTCTGTAGTTAACTATCCAGAGCATCTCCATTCACAGATTTACTGCTCCCATCCAGAGTGGCTTAAAGGAAACTGTAAACATGACTTGTTAAGGCTTTCTTTTATTCTTTTATTAAGGCAGTCTCTGTAGAGTTACCATGTGCAGATGATCCTGCAATGTCGTGTGAGACGCTCACAGCTGGGGAAAACATTTTATATCCTAACCTCATTTTAAACTTTCCCAACAACTAATAACTGACCCATCTGTGGTGTTACTGTATATAAAGTGTGAACTTTCACGTAGTCTTCTGTCAAATGGGTGAGATCGTACGATGATTTTGTGGTTATTCCCTCAGAGATAGATCTAAAGAGACGTTTGTCTTCAGGAAACCAGAAACATGCAAAGAATCTGCAACAAGCATAAAACACCCCCCGCCTCACTCCACACACACACACACACACACACACACACACACACACACACACACACACACACACACACACACACACACACACACACACACACACACACCACACACACACACAACTTCTCATCGTCTTCACCAAGAATTATGATCTGAGGAAGTAGTTAAATTCTCCTGAGTACAAAATTACCAGGCAAAGTAAAAACACATTGAGAAAAATATCTGATAAACATCCTGAACTCCTCAAAGCAGTAATCTAAGAGGAGAATGATAACTTGCATTGTTTTCTAGTATCCTGAAAAAGTATCCTGAAAAACTACATATAATTACATAATATAGAACTTTATATCAGTTGTTCTTCATTGGGAAAACTACTTTACTACTGTAATATTTTGTGCTTCCTTTTCACAAAATCTGGTTTCAGTTTGAAGCTGACCAAGTTTGTTATGAACTTAAACTATCATCTGTTTTCAGTCCTGCTATAGCAAGAAAAGATCATTTTATTTTTCATTTGTACTTTTTTTTTATTCATGCCAGCCTTTCCCCGTATCCATCAGGTTTCAATTTAAGGAAGCCTGACCTGTCTGTTCTTGATCTCCATCAATCGGAGGCACAAGAAATTATCTCAAAGGATGGTGCTTCATTATTTCATTTACATTCATTGATATGCATTATTTACACAGAGAAGAACAGAAATAAAAATGATTATAAGTGGGAAACGTGTTTTATGTGTAACTTCTCCCATTGTAACTAGTGCATCTACAATCCAGTGAACGTGAAGCAGTTCCCACTGTTCAGCAGGTTTGACACCTGAGATTGTTGAGGAGTTTTTCTGTAAGTCTATTTTCTCATGGGAAAACAGAAATATGGGCTGCAGGCGCCAATCATTCACAGATCCATGTGAAAACTCTGCCCCAAGAATCTCCAGCAAGCAGGGTTGCATGAGTCCTGCACAGAAGAAATTAGGGATTTTGTGAAGCATTCTGGAATTTCCTTCAAACAGCATGGAGAACATTTTTTACGGCATTCTGGTAAATGCCTGATTTCACATAAAATAAATTAAAAACATTTTATTACTCAAGAAAAATTTATTTAAAGTTCCACATATGTTATAACTGAGCAAATCAGATGTCTTTGGCTTTTCAACAGATTTTGTAAACAGTGCACTTTATAAATATGAATTTTGTTTTGTTTGGTTTTAAAGAACGGTGGTCAACTTTTAAAATAACCATAAAGGTAATAGAGGTGATTCCAATTTATTTAGATGCTTTTTATCACAAAGAATCATGAAAAAAAGATTATGCTGAAATTGATTTATGATTTATCAGTGTGGTGGAGGACTTTTATGGCATTTGCAAAAAAAAAAAAATGGATCTGCTTGATTAGATGCAAATGTCATATT